GTGTGGACGGGTCCCCTTATTAATTCGCTGCCTACAGATGAGAGTGACCCCCCCCCCCCCCCCACCACCACCACACCCCACCCACACTCGTTTCCCCGATACCATCATGGCACAGAGCCACACGCAGACAGCACACAGGTCGCCCGCTCGCACACACACACACACACACGCACAAACATACGGGAGAAAATGGCTGCAAGATGGGACAACTTGCTTGCTTACACGGTCAGTGCGCGAGTGAGTGCGTGCGTGAGGGAGGGAGAAAGAGAGAGAGAGGAATACACACGTGCTGGCGTGTGTCCACGTGTGAGTGAATGCGTTTGTGTGTGTGTGTGTGTGTGTGTGTTGGTGAATCTATAAACCCGCAGGCCAGTGGGGGCGAAAATTGCGGGGAGCCGTCGGGATTGGCGCTCACCCTCCCAACCACAGCCACAAACACACACTCTCACACGCAGACACACCTGTGGATGCATTGCATCATCTACCCATCCACCATCCCTCCCCCCATCCATCCAGGAACACTCATAAGTCGTCAGTCACTTGATCTGATCTGTCGGCAGGCAAGGCAAGAAGGTGGTAAGTGAGCTAGAGAGAGTAGAGAGTAGAGAGTATGGAGGTATATACACACAGACAGACAGAGAGGGAGGGAGAAAGAGAGCGACTCACCTGGTGAGTTCGCTCGGGACACAGAACACAGGCAGGCATCGCATCATGCCCAGGCAGGAAAAGGGTGAGCCAGTGAGCCAGCCGGCCTGTGTTTCGTGTAGGTGTATTATGTAGACAGAGAGAGAGAGAGAGAGAGCCCATATATAGTACAGACAGACCGACGGCCTTGCTGAGCGGTGGAGAGGGGCGTGCGTGTCCTGAGGTGCAAAAATGCATGCGTGTTTGTTGCAGAAAACGCCCGCACCAGCCACCCCACCCGGCCACCGCACCAGTAACACCTTTCCCTTCCTCTCTTCAATCAACACGCAGGCAGAAGCCAGACATACAGACCGACAGACCTGTGGGCATGCAGGCGGGGCAAATAATGTGCGCACAAATGGAAGAAAAGCGCCACGCGCCGGGTGAAGGGAAGGGCGTCGGTATGCGGGATGGGCGGCCCTTCGGCCGTCTTGTTTGTGTCTTGCTGCGCCATCCGCCGCCCCCCACCCGGCCGTGCATCAATCAATCAATGAATCAATCAGGCAGGCAATCAGGCCCGTGGCGGGTGGGCCCTCGGAAAATCGGTGGGTCGCTCCGCTCCCTCACCTTGCCATCCATCCACCCACCCATTCACTCGAGCATCCACTTGAGCATATCGACACAGCCTAGAAGAAGCCTAGACTGACTGCTGCCATCCCTTTCCACTAGCAACCCTCCCGCTGCCCACCCACCCGCTCGCTCAGCCCACCCATTTGAGACTCACATCACAGAGTGGTCTTCCGCTTGGCAAACCTGACACACACATCCAATCCCCACACGCACACACACACACACACATGCATGACACACACCTCACTTCACCTGACCTCATCCTTTCCCTTCCCCCCCGCCCCACCAACCCACCTGTGTCCGATGGCCGTGGTGATGTCCTCGACGGTCTTCCACATGCGCTTGGGCGACCCCTCGCTCGCCGGCGACGACACATCGCTATCGCCCGACGACGACGCATCGCTGGGCGACCGCGAGAGCGACGGCAGCAGGAGCACGGCCGACCGCACCGACCGCAGAGGGGAGGGGCGGGGGGAGGAGGGCACAGAGGGCGACTGGCTGGTGCGCTTGGGAGTGCCGGCGAGGTCGGTGGTGGAGGCGAGCTGCAGTGACTGCGCCCTGTCGCGGGCGAGGAATGACTCGGGTGGCGGCTGCTTGCAGGGGGAGAAGACAAGCTCCTCGCCCTCCTGATGACACACACACACACACACAGAGAGAGAGAGAGAGGTGAGTGTGGGTGTGACTGTTTTGCTGGCTGATCTGGGCACCGCACAGACATACCTGCGGCTCTAGCCATCCGTGTGCGCTGCCGTCTTTGTACTCACGGTCCTCCATGCTAGCACTCAGGTCGTCCAAACACTCCTCCAACGACGCATCACTCAACATCAGCATCGGACCCTACACACACACACACACACACAGACAGATGGAGGATGCAATCCACTCCTCCACCGACCCTCCCTCCCCCGCACCCCACTTCCTCACCTTAGCCAGTCTGAAAGTGTCCTGCACAGTGCCGTCCTTGAGCGTCTCGATCTTGGCACTGTTGACGACGAACCCATGTGTTCTGACGGTCCGCATGACCCACGCCAGCATGCCCATCTCCGCCGGCCCCCTGATGAACAGCTCCCCCTCCTGCCCGCCGCCATGTGCATGTGTGTGCCGGCACACGCGGGTCGAGACACGGGGGTGGGGGTGAGGGGGGGAGGACAGCTCGGGGATGGGCGCCAACAGGGGAGACCGACCGCCTGCAGCAGAGGGGAGGGATGGAGGGATGTCACACACACAACAGTCAGTCTGGTGGTGTACACCTCTGGGGTGGTGAGAGTGCGGCTGGCTTTGACGCTGGCTGACCAGTGGAAGAGCTCAGCGAGCTGCTGAGGCCTGAGTGGGTGCTACACGTGTCGTCATCGTCACAGGGCTGAGACAAAGCCTGCAGGCACCGACACACACAGACAGAACAGACAACAGTCAAGTCAATGAGAGGTGACCGGTGTCACCGTCAGATGCCCAGCCACGGCGCCCACACCCATGTCTCAGCACGTGCACCCCTCCCCACCTTCCCCTTGTCTCCCTGCTCACCTCCTCAAGCACAGCCTTCAACCTGGGTAGCGTCATGGGCTGCATGCCGTTGCCGGCGCCGTCCGCCGCATGTTCGAGCTGGAAGACGTCCTTGATGCCGCTGCGGCGGCTCTGGGCGCGGGCGGTTGCGATGGAGTAGCCGTGTGAGATGAAGCAGGTGGTCAGGAGCTGAAGGAGACCGGCGCGGTCGTTGCCGGTGATTTCGACATACGGATGGTCCGGTGTGCCGACCACCGACACCCTGTACGCCGGGAGGTGCTTCGCCTGGCAGTCACTCGACGGTCTCGCTCTCAGCATTCACACTTTTTTTCAGTGGGTGGGAGGGAGGGATGGCAGGGAGGGAGGGCAGCTAGCCAGGTGTGGTGTCGCGACAGTCTCTCTCTCTCAACAGGATGTTGGTGTCTGATCCTCGTTCTTGCCCTTGTCTTCCGGTCCACTTGCGGAGACACTTGTGAAATGCGCGCTTCAGTAGATCGGCAGCCGACTCTTTCTCTGCGAATCGGTAGCTACAGACAGCCTGCACCAGAGATCTGAGCCATGGGATCTGAGCAGCCGAGCAACCAGGAGCTGTATACAACACACTGGCACCAGTGAGTGAGCGATGGGCGTGTCCGCCTCATCCCAGCATCATGCTGCGCGTGCCGCCACCGCCGCATCTTCCGCAGAGGACGTCCGCAAGATCCGCGAGTACGACGAGCACCTGGTGGCCGTGGCGTTGAATGGAGGCTTCGGGCGGGATGCCACCGGCCTCACCGAGTTCATCATCAAACACGGCCAGAAGCAGACCAGTGTATCCATCACTCGGCTGCGCAAGTACCTCAGCAAAAGGGCCGACGTGTACGCGGCCGTGGACGCACTCAACGAGCACTACGGCCTGCTGAATGAGGACACACAGGGGCACACCCGGAAGCGCCTCAAGTGGGGCGTCAAGAAGCTGAGGAGCCTGGTGGACTATGAGTATTCGGGCTGCCCCTTCGACTTGGACTTTGTGGTGGCGTCGAGGTGCCAGCTCTTCCAGGAGCTCTTCCTCGCCTCACTCAGAGAACACCAGGTGCGCTCAACACAAACACACACACACACACATGGATGGATGGATGGATGGACGGACGGATGGAACCACGTGTGTGTCTGTCATGGCTTGTTTGTCTTTGTGTCTGTCATGGCTTGTTTGTCTTGTCGTCAGAAGCGCGGCGGTTCGCGCGAGGCATCAGCATCTGACGGGTCGTCGCCCCCGCTGCCGCACTGTCTGGCCTACTATGACCGTCTGCCGCAGCAGGCACGGGACAGCCAGTGCAAGCGCATCATTCACACCATCTTCCAGCAAGACAACGGAGGTACGCCCGTACTTGTTGGGTTATATGGTGTGTGTGGATGCCTATGCCTCTTCCTTCCAGACAAGAAGTGGCTCCAGGTGCTTCTCGCGCGTGCCGGCGAGTTCCCCAACCTGGAATGGCCCTTCGCCGTGCCGTCAGGTCCCCCTTCGAGCCCTCCCCCTTCCCTGCCCCCTTCTCTGGCCACTGCCAGCAGCCCCGCCCCATCAGCCGCATCGCCGCCTGCACCAACCGCCACGAGTGGTGCTGGTGCTGGTGCTGGCAACGGCAACAGGGCCAACAGCACTGCCACGAGTGGCGGTGGCGGCCCTGCACCGACGGCCACGTCAGATGCGGCCGGTGCGGACAATTCTTCGCAGCAGCAGCAGCAGCAGCAACAGCAACAGCAGCAGCAGCAGCAGGACGACTCGACCAATGGCACACTGGCCGAACACAGGGTAGGTACCCTGCACACACTCACTAAGCTCACAACACACAGCACACAGACACAGACGTGTTCCCCGTCTCTCTCTCTGTGTGTGTGTAGGCGTGTGCGATGTCGGAGTCGCTGCTGCAGCTGCTGTTCGACAAGGCCAAGGAGCACCTGATGAACCGCATAGCCCCCCCGCCGCCCCCGCCCCCCGCACCCCCACCACATCCGCCAACATCGCCCAACGCGCCTGCCAAGGACGACCAGACGGCCAACCAGAAGGGCAGCAAGGCCAAGAAGAACAACAAGCGCAACAAGGGCAAGTGGGACAAGGAGAGGGAGGACAAGGAGAGGGAGAGGGAGAGGGAGCTGCAGCAGCGGAGGGAGAGGGAGAAGGAGAAGGACGGCAAGAAGGGCAGCAAGGGGGGCAAAGGTGGCGGGGGCGGCGGCGGCGGTGAGACCACCCCTGAAGAGATGAGAGTGGACAGGAACACGGGGGTGTGTCTGTGTCACGTGCTGAGGCGCGTGGCCATGACGTTCCTATTCCACGCGGCCACCTGCAAGGACCCGCAAGCAGAGGTGGTGCCCATACAGGTCAGTGAGGGAGTGAGCACATCCATCCACCTTGCCTTAACGGATGCATCTGTCTGTTCGTGCTGTCATGTGTGTGTGTGTGTCTGTGTGTGTGTCAGAGCCTGACGTCCTTCTGTCTGCACCTCCTGCGTGTCCTCAAGGAGGCCCTCCACCACCTGGAGGAGCTGCACATTCAACACAAACGGTACCAGTACCAGCTCCCCGCCACAGCCCTACCCGGCACACCAACACCAACACCAGCAGCTGATTCACCAGCGCGGCAGGACAGCTGCCACAGCAGCAGCAGCGGCAACAACAACAACAATGACACGTCTGGAAAGCCGTCCTCTCCCCGTCCGATCCCCTCGCTGAGTCACTCTCTCGTCGATGTGGTGGCGCTGCCGACTTTCTATGCGTTGGGCGGTGTGTGTCTGAACCCCTGTGTGCGCAAGCTGGTCGTGGTGGTGCTGCCGAAGCTGCATGGCGTGCTCATCCAGCTGGACCGATTGGCGGCACACGAGTGAGCGCACTCGACACAGAGACAGAGAGGCAGGGAATGGCGTTGAATGGGTGTGGTGGTGTTTGTATGTGTGTCGCTCAGCACATTCTCCCGCCAGCTGTGCGAGAATGTCTATCGGTACACGCTGCCCACCCCCGTCCTCTCCATCACCGACACAGACTCTCGCGTCGACCTCGTCCCAGAACAGAAGACACCCCAATGGCGACCCACCACCACCAGCACCTGCAGCACCTCCAGCGCCAAACCCACCATCAGCGACGGCTTCCTGCCCGAGTCGTCATGCCCCCCTCACGTCAAGGTGGTGGAGTCGCACCACCCCTACGCTCGGCAGCAGGGCAGCAGGAGCGGCCAGACAGCTGGGCTGGTGGGCAACGAGCGGGTCTCCCGAGTCGTCCACTTCGAGGGCGCCTCCCAGATGAGCATCATATTCGACGAACGATGCAACACCGAGAGACACAGAGATACGCTGGAGGTGAGAATTGGGACAGACAGTGGAGGGAGCAATGGGGGGGAGGTGAGGGAGGGGCATTGATTGTCTGGTTGTTGTGTGTTGTCAGATCTACACCGGTTCCTACTCATCGTCACTGGCGGGCCCTCCGACGTCGTCGCGCATCCTGGGCCCTCTGTCAGGCGAGTCGCCCCGGTGGCCCAAGAACAGAATCGTCGTCGAACACCCGACAGTCACACTCACCTTCTCCTATGGTACCTCCTGCACGCACACACACACACACTCACACAGATGGATGGATGGATGGTTTGACCAGACCCCAACCACGGCGGCCACTACTGGGGCTATCGCGTCTACTTCATCGCCCAGTTCTGGGCCATCCCGCGGCCGCTCCTCCCGCCGCTGTACCCCACCCCCACTCAGTCCATCGTCACATCCACATCGCCAGCACCAGCAGCAGCAGCAGCAGCAGCGGCAGCGGCAGCGGCAGCGGCAGCGTCGCCGCCCCCACCACAGCCCCAACCACCACAGTCGTCCCCAGAGTCACCAGAGGGTGTCAGCCAGGGAGGGCCCGTGACGCCCTCCCCGCGACCGCCCCCCTCATCCCCCCCACCAGTGACACGGGGGCCCCCATATGTGGTGGGGGGGATTGGGCGAGGCGGCAGCCCTTCCATGACGTCGTCAAGGGCGTCGGTGGGCCGTGGCGGTGCGGCAGGGGGAGGTGGAGGTGGGAGGGGCAGGGGAGCGTCGCCTGAGATGATGCCTGGTGGTGGTGCGTCACCACCTGCTGGTGGTGGCGGTGGATGCAGCCCGACTCGGAGAGGGGGTGACGGAGGCGGGGATGGGGACGGGGGCAAGGTCAAGCTGCCATTGGCTGTGGACCTGCTCCTGGCGACATCGAGCGCTCTCGCGGCGTCATGCGGTGAGCCGATAGCACATTCCGAGCAGCGTCGGGCCACCTGATTGTCTCTCCCTGTTTGTGTGTGCAGCACTGTTGCTGCGCGGCCCGACTGTGAGTGAGTCGGAGACGAAGTACGCCAGTGTGCTCAACTCGAGTGTCTTCTCGGGAGGATTCCAGGAGGAGGAGACACCCGTGCTGCGGGTGCGTGTGCACAGACACACGACAGACAGGCACACACACAGGCCAGGCCGCCGTGTATGAGGTGATTGCGTATGGTGGTTGTGCAATGTATGGATGGATCAGGGATTGACGGCCCCGATGTCGCCCAGCGGCACTCACCTGGCGCAGGCCTCGCCCGAGGCGGGGCCACTGCTCCACTTCCCCGACACACCCACCAGCTCACAACCACAAATGAGCCGTACGCACCCCCCAAGCCCCCCGAGAGACAGAGAGAAGGAGGGAGGGAGAGACGGAGTGAGACATGGAGTGTGTGTGTGTGTGTGGATGGTTGCAGGTGAGGGTTCGTCCGGTGAGGTGGAGTTCGAGATGGAGGAGCTGGAGCTGCCCTCCCCAATGGAGATCGACCCCGCCACCATCGCCCCCACTCCCACACACACCTCGCCAACCGACATGCCCCTCTCCCTCGTGCCGTCACCCACGGCAGGCCAGGCATCCAGGGACTTCGTGCAGCAACACCAGCACCAACACACACACAGGGGCCGTGCACAAGTGCGAAGCAGGAGTGGCAGCGGCGTCGGCACGGCCCATGAGGACGACGCAGCCCGGGAGAGGGAGCGGCGAGCAGCCAGCAGCGTGCAGGAGCAGCTGCAGCCATGGCTCAGGAACTCACAGCAGTTCTACAACGACGGTACGAATGACCAGCACACACACAAACACACACACCCCATCTCTCTCTCTCTCTCTGACGCTCTCTCTATCTCTGTGTGTGTGTTCATCTCCTTCTCTCAGTCGTCGACGGCGAGGGTCTGGGCGCCCTCCTGTCGTCCGTGTTGGACGCGGCGTCTCAGCTCGAGACGGAGGCGAGAAAGGGCGCCGGTCGCGACGCCATGGCGGCGGCTGCCGAGCGGCTTGGCGGGCCGGGCGTCAGCAGGGCTGTCAGGGCCTATGCCTGCTGCTTCTTCAAACACCTCGGCATCACTGGTACGGACCACTGCGTGGTGGTTCTTGCTTTCTCTGATGGATGGATGGCTGTATGTTCAGAGTTGGCCATCCGTGTGGTGGAGAAGTGCCTTGTGGCGGAACAGCAGCAACACCAGCAGCAGCAGCAGAGCGCATCAAGCACCAGCACAGTCACCGACCAGCCAAGCGCCCCAGACAGCCACCGACAGATGGCGCAGGCCATCCTCAAGGACCGCGTATGCACTGCAATATGGCCGCACACACAACACGCCATGCGTCCCTTATGTGTGTGTGTGTGTGCGTGTGCGTGTGCGCGTGCAGAGCTTTGCCCCCCTTGTGTCGGTGTGGACATTGAGCCGTCGCATGCGGCCGTGGGTGGTGAGTGAGCGGCAGAAGGCTGCCCTCAACCTGGAGGAACTCAAGCAGGCACACCAACAGCAGCAGCAGCAGCAGCAGCAAGATCAAGACGGCGGACAGCAGCAACCCGACACACCCACAGCAGGCACCGAAGGCAAGAAGGTCAGTCAGCGACAAGCACTTTGGAACAGGCGCACCATCTCACCGTACCCCTGTTGCGTTGCGTGGATTGGATGCAACAGAGAGAGCTCGAGGCGCTGTGCTCTTACGACTACTGGAGCAGCGTGCAGGTGTCCAAGGCCCGTGTCCTCCTCTCCCTCGCGCCATGCCGCAAACCAAAGCCCCCCTCTACCCACCACCACCAGCCGCCAGCCCCCCTCGCCCCCCAAACAGAGGACCTCTCCACCGCTGCCAAGAGAGAGCGACGGAGCAGACAGAGGCGCCGTGACGGTCAGGGTGGCGGTGGTCTGTTTGAGATGGAGATGCTTGCCCGGTGTCTGGGTGAGGTGCTGTGTGGTGACGGCGGGTCGGGGCGTGCGCGGCTGGAGGAGCTGGCGAGACACAAGGGGGATGAGGGGTCCACTGATATGGACAGGTGAGTGAGAGTGGTTGGGTGAATGGATGGATGGATGGATGTCGTCACGGGTCGTTCGTCTGTGCGTGTGTGTGTCTCGACAGGTTACGTAGTCGGTTCACGATGTGGCAGGAGCTGCAGCACTTTGCGGCGTGGAAGCGGGAGGCCACGGCGCTCTCTTCATCCGAGGCAGAGGAAGATGAAGAGGACATCGGTGCGTACGGTCGTATGTACGGTCACGAAGCACTGCACAGCACAGGACATGAGCGACGGCCCTGTGTATGTGTGCGTGTGTGTGTGTGTGTGTTGGGTCAGACGATGAGAGTTTGGTCCACAGCATCGTCAGCGGCATATCGTCCTTCATGCTCATGCTCCCGCCCCCACCACCACACGACACTAACCAACAAGCAATCGGTACCCACCCCTCACCCATTGCACACACACACGCACACACACACACGTGTGCCAACATGCCCCCTTCCCCCTGTGTGTTCAGATGAGGACACCGACCTGAGCCGTCTGCGTGAGGTGCTCCGCAGCCGTCAGTCGCGTGCAGAGGGCCGCATCCAGGCATACGACCTCGTGTGCAACTGTCTGGCCAACCTGCACTTCCCATACACCCTCCGCACCCTACTCAAGACGCTCCGCTCGCTCGGCCGGGAGGTGCCGTCCCTCCAGCCGGTGGCCTCCGTGCCCTTCTCCACCTTCCTCAACGTCTCACCCAGCCCCTCCACGACAGGCAGCGGGCTCGGGCAGCAGGAGGTGCTGCAGCTGCAGCGATACCGCAACGCCTGTTGGGGCTTCTTGCGGCCTTATGAGTATGGCGGTGGGGGGGAGAAGGGCGGCGGGCTGGACTGGCACTACGCCGACAACATCAGGGGCTGCGGCAGAAAGACTGAGCGGCAGCTGCTCAAGTCATTCTACCGCACGGTCGCCGTCATTGTGGGCGCCATGAAGCGGGGACCCACGAGACCTGACGTCCACACCATCTCACTGCCCGCAGCTGCACCCCACTCGCACACCGAAGCATCCCCCTCCCCCTCCCCCTCCCCGCCCCCGCCCCCAGAAGATGCAGGCGACTCCCCGGCCTTTCGGTGTGTGTCTGGCGGTGCCAGTGGTGGCGGTGACTCCAGGGCTTCTAGCTTGGGAGTGCAGCACGGGCTGGAGATGACGGGTGTGGGTGTGGGTGTGGGTCACCACCATGGCGAGTGGCCTCTATGGCCGGTGTGTGTGGAGCGGACGGCACTGTCGGCGCTGGCGACCTTCTCATGGAGAGAGACTGACCACAAGGCGGGTAAGTGAGCTCAGCTCGCTGGCACGCGACACGCCGCGTGAGCCGCTATGAGAGGCTGGCTATGTGTGTGTGTGTGTGTGTGTGTGGGCACTGATCAGTGATTGAGTCCGGGGCGCTTCACGGCATCCTGCAGCGCGCCACCATGGCCATCTCCATATCGACGGCGGTAGCCGCATCCGCCCACCCCCCATGTCTGGAGGTGGAGACCTCCCACGACACCTACCTCTACCTCCTCACCTTCTCCATCTACTGCCTCCGACTCGCCGCCCTCCACTCCTCACCCGCACGACGAGTCGCACTCGGGCTCTGCGGCGAGCGGCTCCGGGCTTTCGCCCTCACCCTGCTGCAGACAGCCTTCCCCACCCACCCCCTCATCACCTCGCCCACCATCACCAACACGGAGCGGCAGCAGCCGTCGACAAGACCCCCACCCCTTCAGCTTCACTCGTCAACACAGCCACGGACCATCCAGGATATGACCAAGATGATGGCTATGGGTGCCGCTGCCGCTTCTGCTTCTGCTGGTGGCCGTGGAGATGGGGGGTCCCCTGCGCAGAGGTCCGAGCCATCACCGTCGCCGCAGCGAGTAGTGTCGGATGGAGCGGGCAGCAGCGGCTCACCCCCCATGTCTGAGCCACACCAGCAGCATCAGCGGACGACGGCATTCGGTGACATGGTGGCCACCACGAGCACACGGCGGCGTGTGTCGCTGAGTGCGGTGCTGGGGTCGGAGACGACAAGGCAGGGTGTGCTGCAGGTGACCACATTCGAGGCCATCGAGTCGTTCACCGCCTTCTTCCTCTCACACCTGCTGGCCCTCACTGTGCGGCTCTTCTCGCCCAGCAGCCACGCCCCGCCCCTAGCAGACGTCACGCCATCAGCTCACCCCAACCGCTCAGCCGAGGCCCTCCGCCGCCCGTCGATGACGTCGGTTACGTGGAGCCCCCCACAGCAGGCGGCAGACGGTGACACCAAGGCCATCATGGCCACACTCGCAGAGCTGGACCCGCAAGCCGAGGCTGCGAGGCGGCTGCTGCGGACCTCAGAGGAGATGGCGGCCGGGGTGGTGTGCTGTCTGCAGTCGGGGGTGGCGCGGCTCGTCCGGCTGGCCGTTCGGTTTCTGGCCCGTGTTGCCCCACACCTGGAGCCTGCCGACGTGTCGCGGCTGTACAGCCAGGCCTTCTCGCTCATCCAGCCGAGCCTCCTCGCCTTCGCCCCCTCGCCCCTGACATCCACGTCATCCCCCCCGCCCACCACCACCGCCATCGCCCCTGCCGACACAGAAGCCTTCCTGAAGTCCCTCCTGATGCACATCGGCTATTGTGTGGCGGTGTGCGACCCCTCTTCGGCCCGGGAGAGGATGGCAGCTGTGCCGCGGAAGTACTGGGTGTCGGAGGGGAGCAGTGGGCTGCACGCGCTGATGCAGAGGTGGGAAGGGAGTGCGGCCAAGTGGGGCCCGGGGGGTCTCTTCCTGGCCGTGACGGCTGGGGCGGCGAGCGAGTGTGCGCAGGAGGGGGTGTCGCTCGTGCGGATGATGCTCGCCACAACCAAGGGGACCGACGCCGCCAGGAGTTGGAGGCGGGCCATTCACCCACAGTTGAAAGGTAAGGGACAGACAGACACCACCATCACACCACACACACAGAACACCAGAGCAACACACATACACACAATTAAATGTGTCTCTCTCTCTCATCAGAGGCCCTGAAGATAGCGTCCGTGGTGCTGCGTCATGACGGCGGGAAGGGCGGCCCGCTGAGCTGGGGGGACCTGTGTTGGTGCCTGGGCGGTCTGGCGGTGATGGGCGGGGTGTGTGAGCAGCTCCGGGTGGGGGCCGTCGTGCAGCACAAGTCATCCGTCGGGGCCGACTCGGAGAGGGGCGTGCTCGTGAGGCATTCGCGATGGGACTGCCAAGCCGACGTGCTCCTCTTGGCACCAAACACCACAAGTAAGTGGGCTTTCATCCCATCTATCACACACATGCAGTGCAGACCTGCACAGCACAGGCAGAAACACGCGACACCTGCCTCTGTCTGTCCGTCTGTGGCTGGGTGCAGGTCGATACGTCCCCCGTGTGCTGCCCGTCAATCCCCAGGTGGTGGTGCCCGTGGGCCTCGTCGAGACTTCAGCGGCACTTTTCACCTCACCATCATCCCTCCAACCCTCGTCCACCGCCTCACCTTTCGCCCTAAGCACCATCAAGACCAGCACCGACAGCAAGGACACTGCTGGTCCGGCAATCGAGGACCCCGATCTGGTGGAGGCCCTTATTGCTGTGGCAATGGTGGCCGAGAAGGGCTTGAGGTCGGGGGCAGAGGAGAAGGACAGTGCTCTTGGTGGTGGGAGTGGTGGTGGCGTGTGTGTGGATGGTGAGGAGGGGGGCGATGAGTGTGTGTGCGAGGGCGGGGGGCTGGAGATGCTGCGGCAGCAGATCCAGACAATGGCGCTCACGGCCATATGCGAAATGCTCAAGGACAAGGCTGTCGTCGGTAGGATGAACACATACACACACACACACAGAGAGAGAAAGGACCAAAGAGAAGCCCACTATCATCTGTCTGTGCGTATGTGTGTGTCCCCCAGAAATGGTGCTGTCTCGCCAGAAGGAGCTGTTCCAGCCGCTGTTGGACATCTCCCTCCGCCCGGTGCAGGTGCGGTCCTTCACCGGCCTTCGCGACCTCCACGAGCGGGCGCAGAAGCTGCGGCAGCTGGCCAGGGACAGGCTGCAAAACACCGTCGGGCCTGAGCATCGCCGTCTGGTCCGCCAGACCCAGGCAGACGCCATCCCGCACTCGACCTTCCGGCTGTTCAAGGGCCTCCTGCCCACTGCATGGGACTCCCAGACGGCCCGGCACTTCATCTTCAGCACCTCCAACTTCCGCCACCTCTACCGCCTCTCGGGCGAGCAGCTCCTCACCCCATCAGCATCCAGGGGGGACGCACACGCACACCCCCAACACCCACACCACGCTGCCCGCGGCCCGGGCAATAACGTGACCGAGACCGTGACGGGCGTCCGTGTGACGTTCATCGAGACGGTCCGTCAGCAGTCGTCGGACGGTGTGCTGCTGGCTGCTCAGGAGGATGAGGGAGAGGAGGACGACGAGGGCGAAGACGAGGAGGGCGAGGAGGAGGAGGATGAAGAGGAGGATGAAGAGGAGGGGAATGGGGAAGGAGATGACGACGGAGACGGTGACGGCGATGGGGATGAGCCGCCCATGACGGGGCCAGGGGGTGCAGCTCAGCCACAACCACTGCCACCACAGCAACAGCAAGAGCAGCAGCTGCAGCCACAGCAGCAAGAGATGTTCCAAGAGTTCCAGGAGGCCCGGGGGGACTCTGCTGACGACCAAGAGGTCCAGGAGGCCAGGGCGGACTCTGCTGACGACGAGTTCAGGGACGCACAAGGCCCCTCGTCGAGCGAAGACAACGAGGCCTCAATGCAGGATGCTCGCGAGGCGCCCTCAGAAAGTGGCGCCCAGCAAGAACCCCCCGCAGCTGACACAGCCAGCCCCCCTGCCACCCAGCCGCCGCCACAGGAGCAGCCACAGCCGCCTAGTCAAGGAGAGCCTTTGGTCCCGCCGGCTGTCCCCCCACCAGTGGACGAGGGGTTCGGCGAGGCATTCCTGCCGCCCGCAGCTGCTGCTGCTACTCAACAACAGCAACAGCAGCAGCAGCAGCAGCCTCCGATACCCGATGGTCCACAGGGGGGCGTGCCCTTCGCTGATGACGACATGGCCTATGACGATGAGCTTGCCTTGGCCATCGCCCTGTCGCTGGAGGTGAATCGGTTACATCACGACCAGCTCCCGGCCGAGACGGCCGCCCCTGCAGACACGAGTGGGAGCGGCCCCTCGCCCAGTCAGCAGGAGAGCCAGGCGTCCTTCCAGCAGCCTCCCGGCGATCATGAGCCCGTGGCTGCAGAGGCGGGGTCGGCCTCGTCAGCGACATCGCCCGACCACCCACCACATGCAGCTGCCCCTCCGCAGGCCGCAGGAGAGACGATCCAGCCGCCGCAGCAGCCGGCCCCCCTGCCATCATCCGATGTCTCCCCTCCTGCCATCCACACACCGGCACCATCGCCGGCAGCGGGCCTTGCTGGTGACGCATCGCCATCCTCTGCCGCTCAGGAGCCCCAGCAGCAGCAGGAGGGTGGAGGGGCGGGTGAGGGCGCCGGTGAGAGCCGTGGGGGCCAGAGCTCCCCTGACATCACTGCGCAGGACGAGGCGCTGGTCAAGGCCCTTGACCAGGCGGGGGCCATGAACGAAAGTGTCGCACGGTGAGTGAGTGAGGCAGGGAGTCAGGGAGCACAAGCAGACAGGAGAGGATGCATGTGTGTGTCTGTGTGGATGAAAGGTCCAACAACGCGGTGCCGCACTCGCTGCCGGGTTACTACTTCGAAGTGACCATCCTCGACCTGCCGGAAGGAAGTAAGGAATCCACGGAACGGCAGAAGGTGGCATGACTGGTCTGTGTGTGTGTGTGTGTGTGTGGTGCTGGCTGGCAGGTCTGGTGAGTGTGGGATTGCAGCGTGACGGCCACAGGATGGACGGCGGGCCGGGTTGCAACTACTCCTACGCCTACTGCAGCGAGTGAGACACACAAGCAAACAGACGACAGACAGACACATGCAACGCACACCACACCCTCCATCTATCCCATCTGCTTGCCTGTCTTCCTCCCTCATATGGATGGATGGATGGATGGATGGCTGCAGTGGTCGCTTCTGCCACTCCACCGACGAGTTCCCCCGCCGCACGGCCAACGGCCCCCCCTTCCAGGCGGGCGACACCATCGGCGTCGGCTACCACAGACAGAGAAAGATGATCTTCTTCACCAAGAACGGGCGATGCACCCAAGTCCAGCTCCCCTCGCCCTCCTCCTCGTCCCCCTCCTCTGCCGACCTCCTCTGCGACGAACCCGTGCCGGCCTTCAGCCAGTGGACCGGCAACATCCGCGTGCGCCCGATGGTGTGGGCCGAGGGGCTGCAGGGCGCGGCGGTGAGGGCCAACTTCGGCCAGGAGCCATTTAAGTTCCCCTACGAGGCGACCTTGACCGACGAGGACATCAGCGAGATCGCTGGCGAGCTGGGCGAGGGGGAAGGGGGCGAGGAGGGCCCGGCCGCGCAGCACCTGTCCGAGCAGGAGCGGCAGCGCCGCACGCTGGCAGAGTTCCTTTCGGAGTTCCACCCACACATTCCACTGCAGCTGTGCATACTGGCTTTGGAGCGGTGCGGGGACAACCTGGATGTGGCCTCCAACTGGCTGTACGAGAACCAGGAGAGGGAGATGGAGCGGATGGAGGCCAACATCCTCGAGTTCTCACGGCAGGAGGCCGAAATGCGGCAGCAAGAGGACGAGGAACGGCAGGTGCAGCAGCTGCAGCGCGACTACGACGAGCTCACCGATCAGGAGCTTCTCGAGGCCTTCGGCATAGAGGAGCTGCCGCAGGCCGGACCCTCCCCCGGGCCCCCTCCGCCCCCGTCAGACCACCCCTCTGACGGCTCACCCACCAGCGCCTTCCTGCCCTCAAACCCCGATTTGCCCCTTCCTCCGTCATCTGACTTTGTCCAGCGTCTGCGTCGCCGAATGCAGGATGAGGTGCAGACCACAGAGGAGGTGGTGCTCTCACTCATTCAGGGCAACCGGTATGACGATCTCGACATGGATGGCGGCGAGGAGGACCAGCAGGCGCCTCTTGGGGTTGCCAACGCCATGGCCAACGCAGGGGCCGGCGCACGCAGCAATGCTGGTGGCGGCGAGGGAGGGCGGTCGGGCGAAGGCGGCCTGGCCAGCGGGGCCGGTGGGGGCCGCGACAGCGACCGACGGAGCACTATCAAAGTGGAGGATGTGCGCATAGGCACCATGCTCCGCATCGACCCCGACCCGGCACACATGGTCGGGCTGGAGAGCGCGACAGACGGGGCACCCACCAGACACATGTGGGAGGTCGGCGGCAGCCAGGCCACCGCCCTGGTGGATCTGTGCGACGGACAGAGAGGGGGCGGGTCGGCGTGGATGCGGCTGGCCGGCCGTCACGGAGTGGTGTGGGAGATCGACGCCAACGCCAAGATCGTGGTGCTGGAGGTCTGGGAGGCCGGCCGCTCCCTCCAGATGCTCGTCAGGGTGCCCCTGGCCGCCTGTAGCAGACCCACTGCCAGATGGCTCAACCCACTCGACAGCATGCTCCCGAACCCCGAGACATCCCCAGACAGCCTGAGGGACACTCTCGACCTCCTGCAAGAGACCGAGGCGGCCGTGGCCAGCCTACAGGTCCGCCACACTGCTTTGTGGATTGTTGCCGAGTCGGAGGCGGACCGCTTCCAGGTCGAGGACTTCAGCTCATTCCAGTCCTTCCTCAAGCTCCTCAAGCTCGCCTACGCCGAGCTGGGGCCGCCCTTGGCAGGCGGGGATGCCTCGGGCGCATCAGCGACGGCTGTCGGCCCTCAACCGAGCGACTCCGATGCCGCAGACCGCGAGCAAAGCGGGTCTGCGTCTCACGTGTTGCTGCAGTCACTTCTCGGGCTGCTGCGCCGTTTCCTGGAGCACGACAGCAAGGGTCAGCTGGTGGAGAGTTTGGTGGAGGAGTGCCAGGCGCACTTCCACAAGTCGCTGGTTTACCAGTTCCCAAGAGAGGTGCGCGAGAGTGACCACCCCTACAAGGAGGGCAAGGACGAGCGGTCCTCAGTGTACATCCCCGGCTGCCAGCGGCTGCTCGCCATATTCGACCCAAGATGCGACCTCGCAAACGACGCCATGACGGCCGTCCAGATCTATACCGACGAGCACTACGACGTCTGCGCCTTCAGAGGCCAGGCGGCCGGACTCGCCGGCCGTGCGGTCGTCGTGGGGTCTAACACCTGCTGGCTGCGGTTCACGAGCTCGCCGACGAGCAGCCAGAAGTGGGGGTACTCGGTGGTGTTCTACCCGCTGGAGCTGAGGCTGGGCGACAGGGAGGCGCTGGAGTCGGACAATGTGCACCTGGGGGCGGCGCTGCTGAAGCTCATCCTGCAGGAGAACGTCATCCCAATACAGAGGAAACTCGCCATGCTCCCCCGCTTTGTCGACCTGCTCCTCAGCCTGGCTGCCGACCGCCCGTCATGCCGCCCATCCGCCGCACCGCTGCTGGTCCAGGTGCTCTCACACTTGGCGCAGAACTACACCCAGCTCCTCCTCGACCGGCCGGCAACGCCATCCCCTGCGTTGATTGGCGGGCCATCTTGGCACCTGACTCTGTCGCCCAGCAGCTGGGCGACCTTCCTGCAGTTCTACATCCACTCGCAGGAGGTCTTCGCCGAGCGGTTCGGGGCGCTGGAGTTCCGCTTCGGCGGCAGCATGGTCGGCTCGATGCGGCAGATGGCATCCCTCGCCATGATGAGCGCCATCGCACCAGATGCATCCTCTTCGTCGTCACGCGGCACCTTCTCTGCGGGGTCGTCGGACGCCCGTGTGCTGCTGCTGCACCTCCTGTCTGACATTCTGCTGTCCGCTCGGGAGCTGGCGAGAGGCTTGGGTGTGGACTGGGCCCTTTTGGAGTCGCTGGGCGACATGTACAGCAAGGCGGTGGAGGGCTGCCGCCCTGGGGACGACGGCATGGTGTGCGACTGGTCGGAGGCGGTGTGCAACCAGCTGCAGCCGCTCCCCTCGTCGGCCCTGATGGCCTCAACCCTGCTGCTTGAGCTGGTCAGCACACCAATCGAGCGCAAGATCGAGGCATACCTGGACCAGGAGAGCTCCTCGGCCTCCAAGGACGATGGGCCGCCCAAACATGAAGACGACGGAGACAACCACAAGCAGGCGGCGGAGGGCGAGCCACCCACTGACGCGGCAGCCGGTGAAGGAGACCAGCCGCAAGCTGCCGAAGCGAGCGACGACAAGGCACCAGAGACGACGGCGTCTGACAAGAAGACCGAGCCTCCCCCTCCATTTACCGTCCATCCGGCTGCCCAAGTGTCCACCAAAGCGGACGCCCCTCCACTTCTGCAGCTGACTGGTCGTCGGCGACGCGGCCTTCGCTTCTGTCTGCTGCGGCCGTTCTACGACCCCAACAAGGCGCCGTGTGAGGGGTTCGCGCCACCGAAGCTCGCGGCCGTCAAGGAAGACGAGGGCAGCACAGAGAGGGAGGAGGAGGCGCCCTCCTCAGCGTCACAACCACCTCCACCACCGCCAGCAGCAGCCGCTGAGCCGCTTCCGGCCGTCCTGACGGCCGGTGACAACGAGAGGGAGCGGGCTGCGTCGCTGCGCTACCTGGTCGAGTACACGCGGCTGACCATCGCGGTGCTCACGGCCAAGTGGGGCGATAAGGACGTCACGCCGCTCGTCCGGAAGGCCGTCAGCGACGTGGGCGGGGCGGCGATCGTGCTGCCCCGCAGCCGCGACCTCTGGATACCCACACTCGACGTCACTGGGTCGGCCACCTGTCCACTCAAGGACAGCAAGCACAAGCCCCGCGGGGCACAGCTAGAGCCCGACTACAACGCGCCTCTGTACCTGGCTTATGTCATTGTGAGGGGTGCGACGGGCGAGGTGATATCGCGGCACCACGAGGTGGTTCCTGCGGGCCAGACCGTGTTGATCCCGGCCTTCCCGCCGGCTTGGTTTGACAGGGTGGCCACTGTGTGGGACTTCCTCACTTCGCTCGAGGATGAGGATGGCATTGACGCCGACGCAGACGGCGGGCGGGAGACGAGGAGAACGGCCAAGGGCAGGACGAGGAGGCGGGGAGACTGCACACTCACAGGGGAGATCGTGGCATCAGCGCAGTGTGGCCGGCCAGACGTTATCGACTGGCGGCTCGGCGGGCTCGGCGGCGTCAAGGACAGCAAGAGGGCGGCATCGGACGCACCTGCATCCCCATCGCCCTTGTCGTCTCCCTCTCTCCCGCTGATGCCCACCACCTTGGCTGATGCTGCCGGCCGCGGCAGGAATCCCTGGATATCGGAGCTGCTGCTGCGGTCCTATGTGGACAGTGAGGTGGCCGCTGCTGGCGCCTACTGGCCCGTCTTTCCTGGCCCCATACCTCTGGCTGACTCCAAGGCCGACAGCAAGACCACCGGTGGTGGTGCCACGATGGACGAGGACAACACGAACGGATCGACGTGCACCGTCTCGTCGGCCATTGACATGCGGGCACCTTGTAAGGACCGACCGAAACACTTCTCACCCACGCATCGGACCCAGCGCATCTCTGTGAGTGTGCTCTGTTCTCTGTCTGTCTGTCTGTCTGTCAGGCACCGTATCGTTTTGGCTCTTCACCGACCCCCAGCCGGCGGCGAGCGCCCCCACCCCTGCGCCCCAGGCCACCTCCAACGCCATTCCACCCACCATCACAGTCCCCAAGCCCGTCATGCAGGCACCGCCAGTCATGCCTCGACCAGCTGCTGCAGCCACCGCAGCAGGGGGCGGAGACGCTGCACAAACAGCTACTGCTGGCGAGAGCTCCCCTCCCTCGTCTGCCTTTCAGGACGTCAGAGAGGAGCCCTTCCAGGACGCAGTTGCCGAGTCAGCTGCAGACGACACACAGAGGGGTGCCGGTGCTGGGGGTGAGGAGGCGACGGGAGAGAGAGAGGCCGCGAGGTCCCAGGCGCTTGAGCCCGCCCCTGTGTCTCTGCCCGAGCAGCAGTCGACTGTGAGCGTAAGTGAGGTGTCGGCCGTTGCTGTGGCGTCTGAGAGCGAACAGGCGCAGTCTGAGGCGGCCCCGCGAGACTCAACGGCATCACAGCCGAGTGACAGTGGCACCGAAGGAGCACCGCAAGAGCAGCCGAGCACCGAGGCGGCCGCAAGCCCCCCGGCACCGGCCATCGCAGCCACGCCCACTGCGGGACAACAGGAGCAGCAGCAGGCAGACGCCGCACCACAGCCGCCGTCACAGCCGCCGGCTGCTCCCTCCCCAGCCACCCCAGCTATGCAGCAGCCACCCGTCACTCCTGGCGCGCCAGCCAGCGACGCCTCACCCAGCTCAGCCAGCATCAACCCCCCACGACCTGTGCGGGCTGCAGCAGATGGGCCAGGCCTCTGGGCGGCAGATGCCTTCGACCACGCAGAAATGGGTGCAGAAGTGGCAGGGCTCATCCTGCACGTGGAGGCTGCAGAGCACCTGGAAGCCCTGCAGGGCGCCTTCCGCAACGAACTCCGCGAGGCCGCGGCTTGCCGGCTACTGGAAGGGCACTCTGCGGCGGCCGGGGCGACGTCGGGGGCGCAGTGGCGTCTCATCGCCACTCGAGGCCTGACGAACGCCACGCTGTCATTCTGGTTGACGGGCGAAGACTGCGTGGCTGTGGTGTTGGCGAGCATGGAGGGCGGCACTGCGGGCGAGCGGGTGGAGGGCGGCACCCGGACACAGTCGGTGGAGGTCATCGGCAAGACGGTCGTGCAGCCGGGGAGGTGGACGCACATCGCCTGCACCATCGGCGGCCCCGCAGGACAGATGCAGGTCCTTGTCGACGGCTCACCAGCGGGCACTCGCCGCGTCCCCCGCACCTCCCTGCCATCGGGGCCTGTTCCCTTCCTGCTGGCCCCGCTGCCCCTCACTCTCACGACCGACATCCTCACTTTCGCTGATGGGGGTGGCAGTGGGTCGCGCCGGACGGCCGTCGCGCCCGTCAAGGGCCGCATAGCCGATTTCCGCGTCTACTATCGCGAGCTGGGGGCGCGGGAGCTGCGCAATGTGATGGCTGACCAGGACAAGATGGCCGTCAGAGTGTTGCAGACGCTCAAGGCCGAGGGCGCCTTCCCCTTGTCGAGGCACAACTCGCTTGAAGGAGCTCATGGCGCCGCGGCCAGTGGCGGTGGCGGGCAGCACCAGGAGGGCGAGGGTATAGCTGTGGGTGTCGGTGGTCCGGTGGTGGCTGGTGCAGGCGGCCGGCTGATGCTCGACGTGCTGCCCTTCACTAACGCCGAGTCTGACTCGCTGTTCGACGACCTGGATGAGGTTGGGGACGAGGGCGAGGCGAGCGACACCCACACGGACCGGATGGTCAAGAAGCTCATCGACAAGTGGCGCAGCATCAAGGACTGGCGAGCCTGGATGGACCTCCAAAGACCCATGGGCGTCGACACACGACGGGTGGCCTGGCGGCGAGCTGGAGACACTGGCAAGCACCTCATGCCGGTCGCAGGGGCAGGTGGGCCGTGGGAGTTGGTGCTCGAAGGAGTGTCGAAGTGGTGCAACGAGACGGTCCTGAGCGACATAGTGGAGGCCATCGACCAGTGGGCCGAGGAGGGCACCGGGCCGCCTAGCCCTACTGGCGAACGACGCGCCGCGCCCACACACGACATCGAGCACGAACACATTTTGACGGCCGCGCTGCAGCCACGCATCCTGAGCCGCCACCCGCTGCTGATGGATGCGCAGAGGGGCGTGTTTGTGGAGGTGGCCTTCTCCTTTGTGCGGTCGCTCAACCGCCTAATGGCCTCCATCGTCCACTGTGTGGACCTCTACTCGCCCTCGCGCACGTCCCTCTTCGCCGCCAAAGTCTCCAGGTTCAGGTGGGTATGTCAGCAGCACACCGGGATGCCTGTTGACCACTGATTGATGGCACCGATCCATTGCGCGCAGGGCTCTGATCCTCCCCTCGCTGAAGAACTCGCTCTTCAACCTCTGCCTGACCATGACAGAGGAGGCCCGGGCAGCCGACGGCCGCCTGCGCGTCATCGTCAACCGACCCAAGGCACTCAGGTCCTTCGAGCGAGGCGCAGACCCCGACGGGCTCAAATCCGTCTTCGGCCAGACGTACCTCGCCGTCAACTTCCTGGACGCCAAGCGGCTTCGCACGCCGCGGCAGGGCCGCCCCTGGTACGTTCTCTACGAGGGCGAGGGCGGCATCGACGCCGGAGGGATGTTCCGGGACTGCCTGACACACTTGTGTCAAGAGCTGCAGTCGAACCGGCTGAACCTGTTTCTGCCCTGCCCGAATTCCCGGGGGTTCGGCGACAACCAGGACAAGTGGCTGCCCAACAGCTCGGCCACGTCGAGCCTGCAGCTGTCGATGTACACCTTCCTGGGCAAGCTGATGGGGGTGGCCATCCGCGGCCTGCCCTCGCTGGCCCAACCTTCCACCACTGCCTCAACCTGGACCTGCCCTCGCTGCTGTGGAACCCGCTGGTGCACCAGACAGTCACGTTGAAGGACCTGGAGGCCATGGATGCGCTCTGTGCACAGACGCTCGACAAGGTGAGTGAGTGAGTCGGCTGTGCCAATTGGTGTCGTGTGTGCAGGTGGTGGTGCATCGCATCATGTGTTGGTTGTGTCTTATGTGGTGTGCAGGTGGCGAATCTTGAGGGCGAGGGCGTGACGGAGGCGACGTTCCGCGACCTGATCCCCTACACCTTCACGACGACCTCGTCCGACGGGCGTGTGGTGGAGCTGCTGCCCGACGGTGAGCACCGGCCGGTCGAGTGGGACACGCGGCACCTGTTCGTCAGCCTCACCAAGCAGTACAGAGTCAATGAGTTCCAGCAACAGGTACACTAATCAGAGAGAAAGGCGGGAAGATGCAAGGGGTCGGTCGGTCGTGTGGCATGCATGACCGTCCATGTGGTGTGGTGTGTGTTGGGGTCAGATCCTGCGATTCGCCGTGGGCTGCAGTTGGTGGTGCCGGTGCGGTTCCTGCACTTCTTCACCGGCAGCCAGGTGGAGCGGCTCGTCTGCGGCACGTCGACCATAGACATCGACACACTCAAGGCGCACACGAGATACGTCGGATACTCGGTCCGTCCACCCACCCACACCACACCACACACCAAAGACGACACCTCGTCTATCTCCCCTTTCCTCTCATTTCACAATTGTGCAGGCGACCGACCAGGTCATCCGCTGGTTCTGGGAGGTGATGGAGGGCTTCCCGCAGAGGGAGCGGCAGCTGTTTCTGCGCTTCGCATGAGGCAGGTCGCGGCTGCCTCTGCGGTCTGCTGGGCAGTGGGAGCAGGAGATGGAGATACAGCGGCCGTACCACCACGACAGACGGCCGCCCAGGTTCCATCCGGGGCCTCCTGGTGCCGCTGCGGCTGCTGGTGTGCCTCACGTGGACGGGGGCGATGTGGGTGAGGCGAGCGGGCCGTCTTTATCCGCTGCTGGTGGTGGTGGTGTGGCACCTCGGCGTGAGGACACCATGCTGCCATCATCACACACGTGCTTCTTCCAGGTGCGGACACCTGCACCGCACGGGCATTCATCACACCGGCTGGCTGAGTATGTGTGTGTGCTATGTGTACCTCTGTGTGCCAGGTTGACCTGCCGGCGTACTCGAGTGCGGCCATCTTGCGGCAGAAGTTGCTGTACGCCATCACAGAGGGCATAGCCATCGATGCAGGTGGGGGGGTGTCATTAGTGAATGCCCGGCCAGAGGAGGGAAAGAGACACACACTTTCTCTCTCTCTCCCTCTCTCTGTGTCCACCACGCAGACCATGCCGCCCAGGACATCAATTGGGAGAACGTCACTTAGCCGACAGACAGACAGACAGACGGACGGAACGGCCAAGTGCATGATACGGTATTTGTGTCTGTCGACCGATGCCCCCCCTGCGCCATAGTACGCTACATGTAGCTCACATATAGCTACATAGGTAGCGCGTCGACGTTTGTGTAGGTGTAGGGTGGGTGGGCTGGAGGGCGACGGAGCGTTGTTTCTATGTTATGTGTGTACATTACATTCATTAGGGTGAGCGGACGGGCACCTGCCTGCCTGCCTGCCTGGTTGCCTGGTTGCTGCGTGCCGTCTCAGGGGTATATCTATCTCCCCACCTTCTTGCAGGCTTAGCTGCCCGTCTATCCGACCATCCATCCATCCATCCATGAATCAGTATACTTGCTGCTGTGTGTCTATTTATCGCACTCGGATGGATGGATGGAGGCCTTTAATGCCTGCCTGCATTGCATGCCAAAGCGTTTTTGAAACCCCGGTCTGGTTGGCCTCAGTGTGTGTCTGGTGAGATGAGATGAGGTGAGGTCTGGATGGACCCAATCATATCATGTCTACGTGATGTCTGTACGTTGGCGTGTCTGTCTGTCTGTCTGTCTGAGTGTGTGTGTCTTTGACCTTTTGCATCGATCGACCGGCGAATAGTTGACACATCGATGTGTGTCCATTCACATCGCGTCATCAATCAATCAGCCAGCTACGCAAGGAGATGACCATGAGCAAGTAGCGACAGATCAACACGCTACATCGGTCCATTAGAGCTACATTGGTCTCTGCCATTGGCACCGTTGCTAGGGGAAGCATCAACAGCCGCCGTGCCATCTAGCTGTCCTCCAGCCTCCTTCTCTTGGCCTCTCCACACCCTCACCTGACACAGCACAGATAGCCATGACCCACACAAGGAATGCACGTGTGTCGCTCTGATCTGGCTTATCCCCTGCCCCCATCTCACCCTCCTGCTGCTGCTGCTGGCCATCGCCGTTGCCCTCGCCATCGCCCTCTCCGTCGATGTCGCCCTCCATGTCTGCACACCCAAGACACGCAAAGATACAAGTGGGGGGCCCAACCACACACACACACACACACACATGTATCCCACTCACCCTCATCGCTGTCGCCGTCTTCCGCACCCTCATCATCATCCTCTGCACACACACACACACATCCGAGTAAGACACCTAGCAAGGCGGGCTGGGGGCCACGCACCACTTACCCTCACCACTATCGCCATCGTCGTCATCCGCACTCTCCTCTGCGCACCACCACACACACGCCGATTCATCCAACCGACACATCGAGGTGGCCAAGGCGGCCGGCTGCACACTCACCCTCATCAGCGACTTCCTGTTGGTTGACCACCATGTCTGCGATGGGCTGCCCCACCAGGCCGCCCACCAGAGGGACGGTAGCGGGCCGGCGGTCCTTGAAGGCAGCCGATGCATCACCCACTGGCGGCTCGGTGGTGACGACAGCCACACCCACTGCATTCAGCAGAACAACACACGTCAAAGGATGGCTCCATCACCAAAGCATCTCTGATTCCTCACCTGTGTCCATGTTGGCCTGAGTGGCGAGAGCGATGTACGCGACGAATGGGCCATCGAACGGCGTCAGCAGCAGCTGCCGAAGCTCTCCAGGGGGATCCCTGCCGTCACCTCTGCCCGCCACGACGGCGGTGCATCGGTTGGGGGGCTGATGGGGCGAGTGGTTGAGGAGGCCGATCAGCACACCGCCGTGGGCATGACTGAGGAGACCAACACATAACAGAGGGAAGAGGCCCTAATGGATGTGTGTGTGCCTGCGTGTGGTGTGTCCTGCCTACCGGTCCACGTCAACCCAAGGCGTCCACCCCCTATTGGCCACTCCAGGGGTCATAATGATCCTCATGATGAAGGAGGACGCCGAGGCCTCAGTGATCACCCCATCACCCCCCATCATCGGGCGGAGTCGGTATGGGAGTCGGTCTCTGACGGGGGGATTGTCGTTGATGGTGTGTGTGTGGTATGGGTGGGCGGGGGGGAGGGGCGGGTTGATGTCCAGCTCAAAGCCCGGCTCGTCCTTGATGGCACGCACACCGCCGCCCGCCTGGTCGAACAGCTCAAAACGGCCCAACTGGCCGCCGAAGTTGACGTGTCTGCCGACCATCTTCCACAGCGCCAAAACACGCGGCTCAGCCAAATACGCCTGCAACAACAGACACACAACACAGCTATCGAGCCATCCATCCCTCCTCGCCTGTCCCCTCCGTCCCGCCCACCTGTTTGGTGGTGTGCCTCTGCATGTCCTGCACACTCATGGTGACCGGCAGAGTGCAGAAGCCGCGCTGCACCGCCAACTTCAGCGCGTTCCCCGCCTCGGTCCACTGCTGCGTATCCACCAGCCAGATGGCCTTCAGCAGCAGAGGGCTCTCCAGCTGAGTGTCGAATGCGATAATGCCGTCGAGCTGTTTGGCCGCCAGGCAGCGCCCCAGCCGATTGCGGAGGACGGCGGCCGAGAAGTCGATCTGCCTGAGGAATGTCGCTGTGCATCTGAGGATGCCGACCTCCTTGTGTTCGTGGATGGCATCTCGCTCCTCGCGATGGATGAAATCTATCGATTCGTTGCCTCTTGCCGGCGGGATGGGCTGCCGGCTGCTGGGTACTGTCACCTCATTTCCCATTCTCCCATTCGAGAATCCCCAAATCCCTGCCTCGCTGGAAGCGTTTCACGCTGTGAAGCCATTGCAGATTGCGTCGAGGATCTAAGAAGAGGCACATGGCGTTTCTGTCCACGATGATTAGTTGAGACCATCGCATTCAATTGGGTTCCGTGTCCATCCACACGCACACACGCATCCCAACCAACCCGCCAGCCCATTCCCATCCACACAGACGTCAGGCCATATTCACAACAGCCAGCCATGCATCCCCATCCATGGCAGGCAGGCAGGCAGGCAGGCAGGCAGACGGACGGACGTTCTCATCGATCCATCGTCATGAAGGGTGCGTTGTGGAAGAGTACATAAGAGTCTTGGGCTCAGACACAAGCATCAGACGATGGCGCGGTGAATCAATGTCGTCAGCACACCCATTGCGGACCGCTTGCTGAGCGTGCAGACACACACGAACATCACCCCATCACTCACTGCTCATCGACCATGATTTATGTACTGTGGTCGTAGATCACCTGCGTGGCTCAGCTCGGCTCGGGGCAGTTGACGATGCTCAGGGGGATGCTTGAGACGGGGTACGTGAATGGCGGCCCGCGAGGATCGTCCTTGGCGAAGAAAGAGGTCTTGGGGTAGAAGGCATGGCCGTAGAGGGGCTGTTGGTGCGGCGGGCAGGGCTGCGGGTGCTGCCCGAGGTTGCACGCCAGGTGGAAGAGGTTGTCGTCTTTGAAGTAGCCGCTCCACTGGTGCAGCTGCTGGCTGTTGAAGGGCCCCTGCACGGTGGACTGCATGTCGATGTAGTACCACACGCTGGCTCCCATCGAGTACGGCTGCTCGACCTCGCCCCACACATGGCGCCAGCTCTGCCGCACCACCCGCACCGTCACCGGCGACGGCGGGGACGCGTTGTCATACCTCAGGGGCGGCCATGTGTTGGGGCCACATCGGCCGTTCCGGTGGGAATGCTGGCGGCATCCCCATACCCTGGATGGCCATCATGGGCATCGGACCTTGCTGCAGCCACAGGGAACCACCAATGAGTGCACCGACAAGAACAGGCAAACGTAAACACGTGTGATCAGTGTGTGATCATGACTTGGCCTACCACGACATTGTCTGCCGAGTTCCGTGCGAGTGGGAGATGTTGGTCCACAGGACCGCTGGCACCACCGTCATCGTCATCGCCACCAACATCAGTCCCTGGATACGAGCGAACAAATACGACTTCGCTCTCGTGTGTGCCTCCCCTTCCCCCTCTCTTGTGCTCATCCATACCTATAAATGTCCCCTCGTTGAACTCCGGGATCAGCCATTTGTCCCCGGCCATCCTGCTGCGAGCCAGCACCGCTGCCCAGGGACTGCCCCCCACACATTCGGTGCTCCAGAGGGAGATTCCTGCCGATCCGTCGTCGTACTTGGCCATCTTGATGTGTGCCGCGAACGGGTCTCCTGCTTTGTCGCCGCAGAGGATGACCCATCGCGACGCGAGGCCGTGGTTGCGGTCGATGACGGTGTGGCTGTCCCACAGCGGTTTCGGCTAGGCCATGAGTGCAGTGATGCGACGACAAGCATCAGACGACACAAGATGCCTCCGGCGAATCACAAAATGCGACCCCGGCTCGGCCATCCTGAAGGAAGCGCGAAGGAGAGCAGGAAGAGAGACGACAGGACGCCCTGCCTTGTTGTATTGTCTGTCACGAGAGCTACTGGCAGCGTACGTACCGAGAAATGACCATACCGCGGAAAGTGTTGCAGGTATATATACCGCGGAAAGTGTTGCAGGTATATATGCTACATTGATAGACGCGAAGATGTGACAACATTGTGACTCCCACACGGTTCCACGAGTGCAAGAAGCGTCGTCGAAGCCGCCCGTGCGCCCCGTCATGGTACATGTACCCGAGTCCATCCACTCGGTGCCTTGGGGACTCAGGTACCGCGCCCACATGACTGGCCCCTGGTCCGGCAAAGGTGAACATGACGCCATGCCGGCGTCTCTGCGGGCCGCGTGAATGAAGAGGCCGTATTGCCGCGCGGCACGGCTAGCGAATACCGCATTGTTGCACACACGCTTTACATCGCTCTCGTCCAACTGGATGGGCAGCTGCTGGACATGGCCGTAGTGTACGGCGAGGTGGATCAGCGCCACACTGCCGGCCCAGTCGCCCCCCAGATCAAGCACGTATTGCAGACGCATCAGCTGACGGGGGCTGATTGGCTCGTGCGCCGGGCGGTAGTCGATCACACCGGCGAGGCCCTTCCGCTCGATCAGGCCATCAATCGCCGACCTCACCGCGGCCTCGTCCACGTCCACCGCTAACTGCAGACAGACACCAAAAAGGAAATGTCTCACACGGACGCATTCACAGCCATCCCCTTCGCCACCCTGTGGCCTGACCTGATAGACCTCCAGCCGCCGTGCGGTGAAGGGGCGGCTGCTCCCACTGTCGAGTCTGTGCCGCCCACGACGAACATCGCCGCGCACACCCAGCACCAGGCGACCTCCGGCAATGGACAGCCTCCGGTCCAAAGCAGCTGCAGCAACACTCACATTCTGATCGGCCACCGGGACCTCCACCTCTTGCAGGGCATGCGCTGCGTGCATCCATCCCCGATGCACCGAGAATAGGGCAACGGGGCACTTGGTGGTGAGATGGGATGATGGGTCAGCGGGCTTGACGAGCTGCCCGTCGATGTGGCAAGCCACGACGTCGCCGCTGCCGTCGTCAATGACGAACATCAGACCTCGCGATCCCTCCAGCCGCTTCAACAGCTTCTTGCACGAAATGCCGTGAGCATCACTCCTGCACGCAGAGTCACACGAACACACACATCAGGGGAGGGAGGGGAGGAATGGTGCGGCAGCGGGATAGCTTACGTGGAAATGCGGCGCAGGTGGGCTGGTTGGTTGTAGCTGATCATGCGGGCGAGGGCGTGCATATCGTCGTCGGCGAGTATGTGTGGGTAGACGTCGCTCAGCAGGCCGTACATGTCGCACTCGAGCAGCAGCTGGTCCATCTTGTCACTCGTGGTCGTCGGAGGGGACACTGCGGTGCCGTGCTCGCTGATCATCATCCCTATCTGATGGATCGTGTCTCGCTCAGGCATGATGCGAAGGCGACGAGCGTAGTCGACGATCCTATGAGTGCAACGGCAAACAGAGGGAGAAATGCAGGTGTCCACTGCCACGGCCCGTGCCGTCCTGTGCTGTTGATGTGTGTCATACTCGCTGAAGTGGTAGGCAGATACACACACGACTGGCGCACTGTACCTGTGGATGACAAACACACACACGATGTATGTATTCCCGTTCCCTGTGAGTGTGTGGGACTGCGGCGGTGGCTGTGCACCTACGCGTCGAATTGGTTGCGCAGGCTGCTGGTGGTCTCCTGAAGAGTCGACTGAGTGGTGCTGATGACCACATCGGGCCGGCCGCCGCCCGCCGACACTCGGATGGAGCGAACAGACTCATCACCACTCAGCGGCCGCAGGAAGGAACTGACCGCCTGTGTCACACGCAGACACACAACCACGGAACCCGTGAAACACCCCAACGCCTTCGCCTGTCGCTCTTACGTTGATCTCGCGCATCACTTGGTAATATCGGGCCTTTTTCGCGGTCTTCTCACGCGATAGCTCAGCTAGCCTCGCAGCGAAGGTCTGGGCGACCCTCTCCACGACACTCATGAGGCCCTTGAGCTGCTCCGGCAGCTGCACGGCCGACAGGAAGGGCGAAGGGGTCTCCAGCTGGGGAGGTGCCGGCTCGCCGTACAATGCTGCCGCCGTGTAATGTGAGGGTGGGTCGACGTCTGTGTGGCCGTCAGCCGCCTCGCCATCTGTTGCCCTAGGGGGCGAGAGCCAGAAGCAGACCCAATCACAGACGCCACCTGCCCACACACAACATAGGACGACCAGACAGGTGCACTGAAGTGGTGCAAGTGGTGGCGTCGGCTCACCTCTGAAGAGTCCATCTTGTGCCTTCCTTGTCAGCTCTTCCACTTTCTCCTCCCAGCCCCAGTGACGCACTGCTCTAAGGACCTTCTCGAATGCCCGTGGGTCGGCGTCAATGAAGAATCGGTTGTCATCGTCCGTCGGTAAGCGGTGATCCCACTCGCCTCCGAACAGCAATGCCATCACCGAGCCCGCCGCACGGGTGAGGTGCTTGCGACGGACAGTGAACGGCCGGCCGCCCACGTTGAGGTCCAGCTGGTCGTCGCCACAGGCCGCCGAGCCGTCGGATGCGCCGTGAAGACTCAGCAGCTCGTGGACGTCGTACGATGCTGCGATGCGTTTCTGTTCGGCCTCGAGCTCCTCCAGAAAGGCCACAATCTGTCTGTCCAATGCGCACAGGGCTCCGTGGCGCGAGAGGAGGTTGCGATCAATGGCACTCGGCAGGTCCATTGCTCTTGGCAAAGAGGTGTCGGGGGCCGACAGGCAGGGAGGAAGGGCCGCATATATACTGCCTTGTCCAGCCCCCAATGGCCTGGCAAGGTAAGGGGCTGAAAGAGAGGCACACACAAGGGAGATGAATCAATGGTTCTGTCGTGGCGTGATTCTCTTACCACTTGGAGTCACGCGTCGATTGAACATTCGCTCTTATTCACAGCGGATGCCTGCAGCGTCGTTCATGGTTCATCCAAAGGCAAGATCATGACGGAAGTCCAAATCAGTGAGACGTTGTCTACGCCCACCGAGGCTGTTATCGTCCTCCTTGGTCTTTTCCCTCCTGGTCGTCTAGCGGGGTGTCTAGCGGGGCCTGTCCACACCCCTCTGCTTTTCTCAACACTTTTTCAGGGTTTGGGGTCAGGGTTGTCCAACCCTCAACCCCAAACCCGGACAGGAGGGAGAGGTGTTACACAGAGTCAACCAGATTTCTGGTTCCTGGTGGTTCTTCTGCTGGTTCTTTGCCGGTTCGGACGGCGGTGGCGATTGGTTGTGTAGATGGGCTCCATCGACGTGCGTCCATCTTCATCTGTGCGTGATGACTCGAGCTCCCCTCCTCTGCTGGTGTACGTGACGGGATTCGGTCCATTTAACAACGGTAACACGCCACACACAGCCAGACAACCGACATCAGACAGACAGACAGAGACAGACAGACAGACAGCAAGCAGACAGACATCAGGAAACACCAGGCAAAACCAACACCCGTCGGTGTCGTGCGTTCGCGGTGTGGTGTGTCTCTCAGTGCCTCAGAACCCCACTGAGACGCTCATTCGCGAGCTGCCACGCCACCTGGTCAAGCAGCCCCTCCCAGGCGTCGACCTCTGCGGGTGTGAGGTCATCGAGGTCTCGGCAGAGGCGTCCAACGTTGCCGTGCAGCGCATCCACCAGACCGTCAGGGAGCGGGTTCGCCAGTGCTGCGGCGCGGGCGGCATCACGCACGCCGTGATAGTGCATCTGGGTGTGTACGCCAGCGACAACACCTACCGGCTGGAGTCCCTGGCGTACAACGAAGCCGCCTTCTCGGTGCCTGACGAGCGGAAGTGGCAGCCACGCTGTGCGACCGTGTGCGAGGCGGGCGAGAAGCGGCTGGCGTGTCGACTGCCGGTTCACCAGATGAACGAAGACCTCCGGCGCCAGGGCTTCAAGTGCCAGGTGTCGGTCGACGCCGGGCGGTTCGTGTGCAACTTCCTGTACTACCGCTCTCTGTTTGAGGCCGCCACACACGACACCGACATACCCGTCCTCTTCGTTCACGTGCCCCAATTCTTCATGTTCGACCTACAGGTAGGTGGGGGGGTCAGGCAGAGTCAGGCACTTAGCAAGCAGCGGCCTGCCTTGCGAATTCCCCTCTCTCTCTCTCTCTCGTTGTGCGTTGGTTACAGGAGCAGCTGAGCTTCCTGAGCTCGCTGTTTGTGGTGATCAGGCAGCGATGGTGTGAGTGCAAGTGCGAGGGCGGTGCCGAGGCGGCTGGTGTGCCGGTGCTGCGAATGGACGGCGAGGACGGCATGGCCATGCTGGGCGATGACGACGAAGGGGAGGAGAGGGAGGGCGAAGTCGGGGTGTTGCAGACTGCGTGAAAGATAGAGGGGGGAGGGAGGGAGGGAGGGAGGGAGGGGGCGGAGGGAGGGACTTAAGCAGTGATAATTTTGTTTCAAGGCATGTGTGTGTGGGTAGGCACATAGCGGTCTGTGTGCGTAGTGTGCAGTGTGTGCTCTTCCTTGTCCGTACGTATCCGTAGGCATGTTCGTACGTCTTTCGTACCTACCTGCCTACCTGCCCACCTGGCTACCTGCCTACCCGACTCCACTCCATGCTCGCCGAGCCCCTATCTATCTATCGCTGCGTTTGTTTATCTGTTGTACGTATGTCCGTATGTTTGTATGGTGTATCCATATCATCCCGTGTGTATATGGCATTGCATCTCTAGACATAACCATCCTTTCATACGTACCGACTGAATTGCGTGTGTGTGTCACGGTTGCTTGAGTACAGATCCGTTTACACCGACCGGGGAGTCTTTTGTTTCAGCGACCTCCCGAATGCTGCATCCACTCGTCCTCCAATGAACAACAGCTCTGAAGCTCAAGGGCTTCTCAACAACGTCGAGTCGGCATCGCCGACTGCCCCCGACAGCAGCAGGAGGCCAGCCGATGCTGTCGACAGGGGAGCAGAAGTGAGCGCCACCCGCGGCAAGGAGTGGCCTGGCGGTGGCGATGGACATGATGGTGCGTTCGGTGGCGTGTTTGCACTGAGGGATGGGGATGCCGTTGTGTATCGGCTGGCTGTGTCGGTCGGCATGCTGCTGCTGGCTGCGTGTGTCGGCATTGCGGGCACGGTGCTGTTTGTGGTTGGGTCATCTGATCCGCCGACATTGCGAGGGCCAGACAACAACCGGTGCTTCTCTGTAGAGGAATGCCCAATCGAACTGTGAGTGAGAGCACCAGCAGCACAGCACGCGGATGGAATCATGGTCAATGGACGCCTGTATCTGCCTGGCTGTCTGCCTGTCTGTGCAGGTACAATCTGCCCGTCGCCATGCCCCTGACGAAGGGCACTCCATTGTCTGTCAAGTGGACCGTCACGCAGGGCGCGAAGAGCAATGCGAAGGAGTTCCCGAAGGGCAAGGTCTGCCCCGCAGCCCCGCCATCGTCCATCTATGACGACCTGGGCTCATGCGGCATGCTCAAAGAGGTCACACACACTCATACACACACACGAGGGGATGAGACATCTGCGGCACTGTCCGTGTGTTTTGAATTCAGGGTCATCCATACTATCGTTTCAATGAGTTGGGGTATCGATGGGTAGCCCATAGTGAGTGGACGTACACGGCCACTTTCGACTGGCCGGCGTCTTCGGACGCCATCGCATCGGTGCTGCACAAGAAAAAGAACGGATATGGCAGCTATTCAATGGACGGGATGCTGCTGCTGGAGTTCGAAGGGCTCGACACGCTTGCCACCATCTACCTCAATGGGGCGGTGCTGGGCACTTCAGACAACATGTTCAACAAATATACATTCACAGTGGGTGTCCATACGAAACGAAAAGAGGAGCAGTCAATGCCCGCCACCGCTCAGGTCTGCCTGTGTGCGTGTGTGATTGCAGGTGACTGGCAAGCTGAAGGAGCGCAACAACATAACAATCGCTTTTGCCAACCCCATCGTCTACGGCAACGACAGGCAGAACGACTACCCATTCAAAGTGCCCGTCACGCAGTTCCCCAACTTTCTCACTGCATCGGAGAACCCCAAAGCCAAATGGCTGCCATCGCCGGGCGGCCGCAACTTCGTCAGGAAGGCGCAGAGTGACTTTGGCTGGGACTGGGGGCCAGCACTCATCGGTGCCGGCGTGTGGAAGCCCGTCCACATTCTGGCGCTGCACGCGGGCCGCATCGACTATGTCTCGCCGCGACAGACATTCGCAAGTGATGGGTCTGTGACACTGCAGCTGGTGGTGGGTGGGCAGCTGAGGGCGGCATGCCGCACTGGCCCGCTGGCCGTTGAGGGGATTCTGACGCCTCCCGGGGTGAAGGCGGACAAGAAGCACTCAATGGTCACATCTGAACAGGTACATACCTCACTAGATGACGCGCATGCATGGGGTGGATGTATGTGTATTTGTGTATTTCGGTGCGGTGCAGGTGATCGGGTACGACACGTCAGGTGCGGTGTGTCGTGGTCTGGAGAAGCTGACCGGCGGCTACGAGCAGCTGTTCCCCACACAGACGACCCTCACCTTCCACCTCCCCAAACCCACTCTATGGTGGCCCATCGGATACTCGGACACACCAGGTGGTTCCCTCAGGGATATATCTGCTGCTGGCGTGTGGCTGACGGACTCTCTTCTTGTGTTGTGTGGGTGGTGTGCAGGTCAGCTGTACCGTTTGGAGGTTCGTCTGCGGGCCGGCACAGCCAGTTCGATGGGCTATATCCTGGACAAGCAGCACAAGCGCGTCGGCATCCGCAAGGTCCGCCTCATCATGGACCCCTTGTTCGATGTGTCCCACGGGCAGAGCCTTGACAAATGGCCCGCCTGCAAGGCAAGTCATCGACCGGAGAAAAGAGAGCCGTCAATCATGCGAAGCCGTCGGCTCTTTGTCGCTTTCTGTTGCATGTAGCCTGCCATCGACTGGTATCGCACAATGGAGCCGGGCATGAGCTTCTGCGACGCGTACAAGAAAGTCAGGTGCGTACATGGACATGCCCTACCGCCATCCATTCATCCATTCATCCATCCATCCATCCATCCTTGCTGAGTGCAGGCAGGAGGGCTCCGTCTGGGACAACGAGAAGCAGCAGTACTGCCACGACCAGGGCTGCTGCCAGTCGGGAGACTGCAACAAGTGCCCCCCTCAGCTGGAGCAGTGCACGCCCTCATTCAAAGCCGAGACTTTCTACTTCGAGATCAACGGCCTGCCCGTGTGGGCCAAGGGCGCCAACCTCATTCCATTCTCATCATTCCACTCGTCCGTCACTGAGAAAGACATGAGACGCGTACTCGGTAAGGTGGGGTGGGAGGGAGGGAGGCAAGGGGCTTGCAGGAGGAGGTCATGTGCGTGTCTCTTGTGCTCTTATGTTGAACAGATGCCGCGTTGGAGGGCAATCAGAACATGCTGCGTGTGTGGGGCGGAGGTATCTACCCGGTCGACTTCCTATACAACTGGGCTGACGAGAACGGCGTCATGGTCCGAGAGAGAAGGCCCTCGGCACTCACACCTTCACTCGCTGTCCTTTGTTCAGTTGTGGCAGGAGTTCATGTTTGCGTGCGGCATGTACCCGACTACCAAAGAGTTCCTCGGCAGCGTGGCCGAAGAGGTACTCACACAAACACCAGACGGGGGTGTGTGCACTGTGTGGGAGAGAGATGTGTGTGTGCAGGTCCGTCAGCAGGCCAAGCGTCTGACGCACCATGCGTCTGTGGTGGTGTGGGGCGGGAACAATGAAAACGAATCAGCCATGACATGGTAAGTAAGTGGCTGCAAAGAGGACGCCCCTCTCCCGGTATTGTATACGCTTCTGTGTCTCAGGTTTCCTGAGATAGCGGCCAACTACGCCACCTACGTGACGGACTATGTCGACCTGTATCTGGGCGTTATCCTAGAGGAGCTACGAAAGGTGAGCTCACGCACTGCAGGACCTTCTCTCTCGCACAGTCCATCATTACCCTCCTCTCTGTCTCTCTCGCTCTGTCTTCCCGTTTGTCAGATCACTGGCCCGTCCACGGTGTTTGTGGACTCTTCGCCGTCCAACGGCCCCCTCACCGACGAGCCGAAGCGGTACCGCAAGAGCTGGGGCGATGCGTGGGACCCGAACAGAGGCGACGTGCACTTCTACAACTATGTCATGGACTGTCTGGACGTCACTCTCTATCCGAGGGCTAAGTTTATCAGCGAATTCGGCTTCCAGAGGTACAAAAACATGGCCACACTGTGTTTGTTGTGGACGTCTCTGCCTGCCTGCGTTGTGTGTGGTCTTGTGTTTGGCCGTCCGTCAGCCTGCCGTCGCTGCTGACGTATTTTGAGGGCGCCACCGACCCTTCCCATGGGTCGAGGGACTTCCACATCGCGTCGCATTTCGCCTATTACCGTCAGCGACACGTGGGCGGCAACTCGGAGATGATCCGGCTCTCAGGCGCACACTTCATGTGAGCTCACGCACAGACAGACCACACTCACACAGGAGAAGAGTTTTCCAATGTCTCTATGTGTTACTCTTCTTTCAGCGTGCCCACCTCTCAGCAGACCCTTCCTCGGCGCCTCTCTGACGCTGCCACCGACACAAACGGCACCTCTGCTCCTGCCCCTCCTGTCCCCCGCTCGCCACACACCGTCAACATGACAGCCTGGCTCGCCGATGCCGACCCATCACACATCCTACGCGAGTATAGGAAATACTTCAATGACTCGTCTGTCGGATTGTCGGTGGCCAATGCAACGGAGACAGAGGAGGAGAAGGAGCTGGTGACGGACTTCGAGCCGGAGGCCATCAGCCGTGCGATCAACAACGCAGAAGTCGACGATTTCGACAAGTTCGTGTACCTGACACAGCTGGAGCAGGGCAGGTGCTACGACGCGGCCGTGCGGCACTGGCGGAGGATCAAGGCCGACTGGGACGCACGCACTATGGGCGTCCTCTACTGGCAGCTCAACGATGTATGCGAACCCCCAGCCCCACACCACACGTGATCATGGAAGCACAAACAGTGATGGGTGGGTGCAGGTGTGGCAGGGCCCTTCATGGAGCTCGCTCGAGTATGGGGGTCGGTGGAAGCTTCTCCACCATATGGCCCAACGCTTCTTTGCGCCGCTGATGGTGACGGTGTCCTTCAACACTGACGCCGATCTGCTGGAGGTGTTTGCCGTCTCGGACATACCTTTGCCAGTCTACAGAGGCACACTCACAGTCCAGGCCATCAGATACAGGCAAGGGCAGGAGTGAGGCAGCCCATCCATCCATCCATCCATCCATGTGTCTGTGTCTCTGTGTGTATCCGTATCCTGTGTCTCTGCAGTGACGGCACTTACATCTACAAGGAGGTCAAAAGCGACATCGCCTTGGGGGCGCTGACATCCATGCTCCTCCTCCGCACCAAGGTCAGCCAGGTGCTCCAGTCCACCTGGTGGGACCCCGCTCACCTCTTCACCACTTCCTGCTCCGTCACCGAGTGCTTCCTGCGCTTCATCATCACATTCCCCGACCAGCCGGCCTATGTGGGCGGCAAGAAGGCCTCAGAAGGGCCGAGAGGCGGCACCCAGCTGACTGCGGCTGGTGATGCCTTCTTCACGCCTTTCCTGCGGGCGTCGCTGGCGTCTGCCACGGTGCATGTCAGCGCGATATCGAATGCTGAACCGATGAGGTGGGACCCCGGCTACGAAGCTGCGCAGGGGGGGAAGCTGCAGACGAGGGCCAAGATACAGCTGCAGGCCAACAAGGGGGGAGGGGTGGCGCTGTTCGTGTGGCTCGAGACGGCCGTCAAGGGGCACTTCTCTGACAACGGTGCTGCGCAGGAAAGAGGCGGAAGAATGACCGCAAATCTCACCCTGTTTGTATTTTGTCTTCAGATTTTCACTTGATCCCTGGTGAGGGGAGGGAGGTGTATTTCATCTGTGACGACACCATCGAGAATCTGTCTGCGCGGCTGGGCCAGACGCTGCACGTGCGGCATCTGCACGAGCCGTCACCCAAGCCAGTCAAGCTGCAGTCCCCACCACCACACATCTCGTGATGGGCTGGGTTCTCGAGCTCCGATGCGTGTTTTTGTGGTGTGGCCCCGATCCTTTCGCGCCTGATTTGTTCTCTCTCGTGTGTCTGCGTGTTGTCTGTGCGTGGTCGACTCGACTGTGGTGTGTGGAGTGCAGAAGAAACGACGCCATGCCATGTGCGTTGATTATACACGAACATCGTCACGTGTGTGTGTCCCGCAGACGACTCCAAACGCATCCGCACATCGCATTCATGCACCAGCGACACGCACACACACACACACACACACAGACACCATTGACATGCACTGCACAGCAGTTCGGTCAGAAAGGGCCTCCCTCCCACCATCCACCCTCCCTCCCTCCCAGCATCCACCCTCCACACCATCCACCAAGTACCGTTCTCTACTCATGACAGCCACCTCAGCTACCTACACTCCATCTCATGTTTGGTACACCTCCTCCCCCTGCACAGTCAGTCAGTCTCGGTGTGCTGTCGATGCCGTCTTCTACACTTCCTCGTCGCCCGCCTCCTCTTCGGCAGCCCGCCTGACAGGGGGAGGGCACACACACACACACACACACACACACATCCAGCGTACAAGAGAGCATCAGCTGGCATGTTCAGCACCCCATCAAGCTACCTGCTGCTTCGTCATTGGCTGGCTGGACGGGCACCACTCCGTCGGCGGCCTGCACCTGCACCAACGCGCGTTGTATGACACAATGTGTGCTGGATTCTTTCACCGTCCGTCTGTGTATATGCGTGGATCTATCACGGACAGGAGGGACGACAGAGACCGACAGCCAGACCGTGACCGTGACCGTCGTAGCCGGAGCCGGAGCCGGAGCCGCGACAGAGACTACGACCCCCGACCCAGGCCAGCCAGATACCGGTATGTGCCTTTCTCACACACAAAGGACGCGAGCATCTGTGTCACTCACACGTACATGTAATGCAGCAACCCGGCAGAGGACATGCAGACTGGCCCACGCACACACCGACATTCGCGGCGGAGGCGGGACAACCTGCCTGCGCACGGACAGTGGTATTCCGAAGGAGCAGCTGCTGCTGCTGCTGCTGCGAGTGAGAGTGCGAGTGCTGGTGGTGCTAGTGTTAGTGTGCTTCAGTGCACTGTGTGTAGGGAGGACTACCAATCGGACGGCGACAAGGCACCCCAAGTCCTCGCATGCGGTGATCAATGCACACACACCGCACACAAGACCAACACGTGGACCAATGTGGCTGTGTGTGTGGCTGTGTGTGTTTGGCGGTTTCTGTGTTGCTCAGGTCATTCCTTCTGTGCGGAGGTGAGTGAGTGGGCACTTAAAAGAGTGTTGGCGACGATGGCATGCCATGTATGTGTCTGCAGTGCGTCAGAGGGCTCATCCGCCATCACCCACATGGCCGTCGTGTTGCCCGGTGCCCCGAGTGCAGGTACGCATCAAGGCGACACACATATGGGAGTGAATGCTTCGCACTTCCTTTGTGTGTCCATCGGTCGATCAGGGCGGTGACTGCGGAGGCTAACATTCAACCGAACTACGCCCTGCGAGATCAGACAGAGATCTTGCGCGTGGGTGGACAGTGACGGGTCGGCATGACTCAACAGGCACACACAGATAGACAAGGCAGAGGGACTGACTAGTCTGAGGGATTCTGTCGAAGCTACAAGTGCATGGCTGGCATGGAGCCAGCAGAGATGCCCAGCTGGCTGGCTTTATGTATCTTTGTGTGTGTGTACATGAGAGACTCAGCGCGGGTGTGCAGGTCTTGTTTGATCCTAGCTATCTTGCCCTTCTGTGCCACTAATGCTGAGCAGGGAGGATGGCGGCAAAGGGGGCGAAGACAGCAAGGCGCGAACAAGACCGGCACACTCACTGTTTTACACGTGGATGGATGGATGGATGAATGGGTCTGTCTGTCTGTCTGTCTGTGAGTATGCATTCTTGCCTGTGATCACCTCGACGACATGCATGTATGTGTGACCCTTGTGTGTGAATTCGATGCTTTTACCAACACACCCACAAACAAACGTCGCACCAGGTAGCTCTTTCAGTAACCAACTGCATCGAGGCGTCTTCAAGCACTCACTCACTCACATGCATGCAAACACATGCACAGCACACACATCAGAGTCCTTCCTGGGTGAGTGCAGCGTCAAGGTCGCATGGTGGGTTGGTGCGTGGTGGTGCGATATAGATTGGTCGAAGTGTCACTTCGCCATTTGTAGAATGCTTATTTATTGGATGCTGTCATCCCAATGTCTCCCACCATCCACCCTCCTCAGGCAAGACAGACAGACAGACAGAGCCGGCAAGATGGATGGGCCTCCCACCATCCATCCATCCATCCACCCTCCACACACATGAATGGAACCCATCCTCACACATGAATGAATGAATGAATGTCATCTCTTTGTGTCTGCCCCTCCACCACCCCTCCCTCCCTCCCTCCCGGTCAACCAGCCAGCCATGTATGATCCCTCGACGAGTCCCCTGCTTGATTGAGGTCAGGAGGGGGAATCAGCCAACCCAACAACACACAACACACAAGCACGGAGCACCACACGACACAGCACAGCACAAGACACAGCACTGCCAACAAATACATACAGCCCCCACGGATGGATGTACATATGATGATATGTCCCTGCCAGCTGCTCTCCCCGTGTGTGCGCCGCGGGACAACACCAGAATGAATAGCCAATCGATCTACAATTGGGGCGCACACGAGGGCAGACCAAGACAGACAGACAAGCCAGGTGAGCTCTACATCCGCCGTACATTCATTCAAACGTGCAGACAGACACCTTCATTATGGACGGACATGAATGAACATGTACGCACCCCCCCTTTATCTGCCTCTCCCCGCACCAAGCGAGAAGAGACACACCTCAGCTCATGTGTCGCATCCATCCATCCACTCACGCATCCTCGTGTGGCTCATCTAAAGCCAAACGCATCACGTATTTTACTTGTAACATTTTCTTCGACTGCCCTCCCCATGACTTCCCCCTGACGTCCGACTTCGCTTGCAGCCTCGCCGATGTTCCTCCCGATCTCAGGTCTCTTCTCTCGGCCAAACTTCTCGCCCCTTTTCGCCCCTGCCCAGGCGCCAGCAGCCATTCCGACGGCCGCCCCGGTTGCGCTTCCATACCTCTCGCCCAGGCGTTCGCCCTCATTGCCCAAGTCGTGGCCATGCTTATTGCCAATCCCAATGGTATGTCTGCTGTGGTAGTAGTCGTCTTCGATCTCATGGGCAGGCGGAGTATTCTCTGCGACATTCTTGATTGTCTCGACCGCATCGACTAGGTCACCGAAATCCTCAATCTCGGGCAGCTCGATGCCGAATGGACCAAGGCGACGCAGTCCCGGCCTTTTCAAGTCTTCATCCGCCTTGACGGAAACGCCAGACCTGCAGCAGGCAAGACAGACAGACAGGCAGACAGACAGACAGGCGTATGGTGCATCATGTGTGTGTGTGGGCTCGTGTGTGTGTTTCCTTCTCTTACTTCTCTTGTGTGGCCTTGTCACGCAGAGAGCGGAGCACATTGGGCGCAGCCTTGACATTGTCAGCGGGGCTTCCAGACACCACCGCGGCGATGACCAGCAGGGCGACAGCCGACATCATGACGAAGCGAACCATTGTGGAGTGACAATGAACGAACCGAAGGAAGAGCAAAGCCAGGGGGCGGCGAGGGGAAGAGCGAGAGCGACCGACCGGGGCGGCGAGGGGAAGAGCGAGAGCGACCGGATAGAAGAGAGAGGGACCGATGGAAGCGATGCAGACGAGAGAATGAGACGACACACGACAGGCACCAGAGAGAGCGAGCGAGCGAGCGAGAGATCCCGTTCTCTCCTCTCCTACGAAACGAAACACCTGCAGACACACACAAGTAGTCCCCTAGGACACTTTTGCGTAGGCGGGTGGCTTCTTCAAGCTGCAGCTGCTGCAGCAGGCCGAGCAACAACATCGCAAATGAATCGCGAATCTCTGCGCAAGGACGAGCTCGCAAAGCTCGCGGGGGAGGGAAGGGGGGGCGAGCCTCCCGTTGGGGTCCCCCCGTCTCTTTTTGTGTAAGCGGAAAGTGGGAGGATCACGCTTTACAGATCTCGCCGATTCGCTGTGTGTGTTTGTTGTCGTCAGCTTCCTTCTCGTGAGATCTCGAGAGATCCATGGCCGAGTTCAGTCCCAATGTCAGAGGCGACCCAAGCGTGGGTTCCCTCGTGGTGTGCACCTTCAGACTCGGAGAAGTGCCATCCCTCCGGAGAGCCAGGTCATCATCCAGCTTGTTCCGCAGAGCCAACGGAGAGGACTTCTCGCGTGAAACGTCGATGATGCGCCGGGTGGAATCGTCACCCAGCCTCTCGGGTTCGATTGTGGCCTGTTTCAGCGAGGTCTTCTTGACGATCCCAAACTCGCCAGCGAACCAGGACATGATCCACGTCAGGATCTTCAGCGGCAGTGATCCAGGTGAGCTTTCACCGGAAGGTGTGTCTGCATCCCCCGAGGCTGCGTTTAGGGTTCTCGCGTGAGACGACGATGATGCGCCGGGTGGAATCGTCACCCAGCTCCAGAGAAGAACTCTCGCGCGAAGGTACAGCAATGGAGAGGATCGTCTCACCACCGGGATGCCGACGCTTTTGTCCCTTCAGATTCAATTGTGGCCTGTTTCGGCGAGGTCTTGTTGACGACCCCAAACCCCGCTGGCGACACGAACCAGGACATGATCCACGTCAGGCTCTTCACCGGCAGGTGTGTCTGCATCCGCCGAGGCTGCGTCGCATGTGTGCCGGCCTACTCCCTGCGGATGCGAGGGCGGGCCAGGGAGGCCGTGAATAGCCACACGTGGCCGGTTCACATCTTGAGGGCAGTCCACGGCTTCCCTCCCCTTTCCAGGAGACTGTCTGCTGCGATGGTCAGGGAGGCGGCGTTGGGGGCGGGTGCAGCTGCTGGTGCGGCCGCTACGGGACTAGTCACGAGTTCAATGATCGGCGCTGCTGCTGCTACTGGTGGGTGAGGCGGTAGGGGGGAGGCAATGACCGCATGGTGCCACTCACGCTCATCACTGCGTACGGTGTGTGTTGTCTGTCGGGTTGGCTGTTGTCAGGAACGGCAGGAGCCGCGGCAACCAACGAGTGGCCTCGCAACGATAGGAGGGGCGGCAGGCCTGGGAGGGATGACTGGAGGCATTGGAGTGATTACCTTCATTCCGGCGGCGCTGACTGCCATCTCTATGCGCTCACTCGTCAGGCTATGGAGGGATGACGCAACCACCGCAAACGCCACTGGCATCGGCGCGGCAACCGGTGGCCTTGCGGGAGCTGTTGGCAGTGTGGGCCTCGTCTTATCAAGTGAGATGCATGCAACACGGAGAGAGACTGACACATGACATGCACGTAATATGGTGGTTCTGCTGCTGGTGTCTGTGCAGGTGGATCTGGGTCAGGTCTGAGTGCTGCGAGCATCGCCTCAAGGCTGGCGTCCCTCGGAGGCGGGTCCATTGCAGCGGGTGGAGGTGGGATGCTGGCCGGCCTGTCGGTCCTCACCCTCGGCACGATGGGCGTCGCTGCATTGGCAGGGGGCGCCTCCTGGGGCGTCGCCGAAGGCACTTTGTACTTGCTCGAAATCAACTTGAGGAATGACATCATGCGCCTACAGAGACAGGGGGTTGTCTTCCCGGATGTGATGTGACGCGGGGGCGGGGCACTCCTGTCAACAGTGTGCTTTTTCGATGCTTGGACATTCTGTCCTCCACATGCCATGTGGTTCTGAGTCAGTTTGTAGTACGAAGCACTGGACAGGATGCATGTTGTGCCTGTGCGGCGGTACTGTAGCCTCTGTGCAGGTTGTGCACGTGCGCGCCTGTCTGTCTGTCTGTCTGTCTGTGTGCGTGTATGCATATGCTCGTGGTGCATTCGATCCCATTACTCTTGGTGTGTGAGCGTGTGTGATTGTCCGTTGGTTTTCCTCTCGACTGTCTCTGGGCTGTATTCGTGTGCTGCGCCACTGGCACAACGAAATACAATCCACAAAGAGACGAGGGGCGGCCGCATCTGCGGATGTCTCTTCCGGTTTGTGCATGCATGCCGATTGCTTCTCATAAAGTGCTTGCGCAAATATAGGCTTGTGAGGGGGTTTGTCTTGGAGACTGTCCAGCCAGACAGAATGTCGGTGTTAGTGTTGCATGCGTTGGTGTGTCAGGGGACAAGACGACGGGAGCATTGCAGATGTGTACGGGTGCCTGGTGGGTCAAGATGGGACGCTGATAAATGCATGTCTCGGCTGCCGCGCGTGTGCTGACGACAGTGAGCAACCCGCGAGACAGATTTCTCGCGGGTTGCCGCGAGAAATTTGTATGGGAGGCATGGCTGGCCACCAACAACGACAACCAACAAACAGCCATGCGATTTTCTTCGGCGGCCACGATCGGTAAACGAGACGATGAGGAGGGGACAGACCTGGGCCTCGTCAACGGTTTTAGAGACCTTTGATTCATCCATCCGTCCCCGAGTGTGATTCATGTCATGCACACGAGAAGCGTCTCTGGACATGACACCATGCAATCAATGCAGAGAGGGAGCACTTACTGTCCGCAGAGAGTGTGTGAGAGCGAGGCAGAGAGAGCCTATGTACAGCACACAAGGACGGACCTACACACCGCACTGACAGACAGACATGCACTGACAGACATCACAACCACTCACACAGCGTGTGTATCCGTCCCTGCCATTTCTCTCTCAGCTACCGACATCCTCTCTATCCTCTCTGTGTCAGTGGTGCCCTGCCGTACGACACAATGGTAAGTCATCCAGCCATCCACCGACCAGCCAGCCATGCCCATCCATCTATCCGTCTGACTGACTGACTGACTGACTGTGGGGGACCTGTGTCTTGATGAGCCCATCGGTGCGGTGTCGTCAGTGCCGGCAAGAGCGGCCGCACTGACGACGCCGCACGATTCGGCGCATGAGGACTGACTGACATGAAAGAAACCTAGACACCCTCTCTGTCTGTCGCCCTCCCTCCCTCCCTCCCTCCCTCCAGTCGTCAGATAAGGCTGATAGGAAGAGTCAGCACGGTCAGGCGAGTGCGGGCCGGGCCGCGTGAGCAAAACACAGGCCATTGCTACACCACACGAGAATCGAGACGACTCGCCGCCACACACGCGTCAACAGGTATAGACACACACACGTGGGATGTGGTGGGGTGGTTGACTCGACCAAAAGCAAAAGGAGAGGACGTGTCTTGTCACGCATTGCATACACGAGGCGGACGTCGGATGTGGCATGGGACGGTGTGTGTGCCTTGCTGTGTCTGCCCATCTCCCCTCTGCTGCTGTGTGTCCTCTCTCTCCGGCCCACCCACACCTCACCGGTCTGGTCGGCCAATGCACATGAGGGGGGGCAATCGGAGGGGAGGGGCGGAGTGGACAGACAGACAGACAGACAGACAGAAAGAGACGAGCGAGCCAGCCGAAGAGACACACTGGTGTGAACAAACACGCTGTCATTAGGAAGAGGCAGACCATCCATCCATCCATCCAGCCAGCCATCAGCGAGTACCACAGCAGACAGCATACCGCACGAGAGAAAGTCCCCACCCGCCCCACTCTATCTGCCGCCCACACATCCGTCCATCCGGAGAGAATATGTCTGGCGGATCGCTTCAACGCTAACACCGCCGCCCAGCCTGACACACCCATGGAAAGACAGACACAGACACCATTGCGTAAGCCGTGAGCGCATCTGCTGCTCGTCTCAGTCGTGTTTGGTGCAAACATACCTCAGCTGTCTATTGGTCGAAGATCATGGCTGAGATGATGGTCTCCAGCACCGCACGGGCCAGCCGAGTGGTCTGCGGGAAGAGGACCTTGAAGGCGCCACCCACAGACACAGCCGGTTCGGTGGTGCAGACCTCCACCTTCACTGCAAAGGAATGACAGGAGAGGACAGAGATGAGAGTGGCACCGCATTCCCTCCCCCCTTGCTGTGCCGGGCTGGGCTGACCATAGTTGGCGAAATCATCGATGCGAATCCATGCGACGAACGATTGGCTGGCGTCGGTCAGGACGAGATGACGTCCGGGAATGAGGTGGTATGACATGGTGGTGGTGCATCTCTCCACTGGTGTGTGGGGCGACTGCGTAATGAGGGTGTGCAGCCGGCTGTTGTCGACATGCCTGATACACACACACACACACAACGTACACTCGTGTGTGACGTGGCAATGCCCACAAAGAGTGATGCCCCGCCTCACCTGTCGATCATACGGTAAGTGCTGTTGATCTGGTGAGTCTTCTCGAAGTGGTTGAGGACGATCTTCTTGACACACGACGACACAGACGAGAAGTTGGGACTGGCGGACGTGTAGTCGGAAACGCTTGCCCACCGTAGCCAGCCCCTGGACGGGTAATTGTCGATGCTGCTGCTGACGGGCGGGTCGTGCGGCTGTCGATGCTGCTGGTAGGGGTGGTTGGGAGGGAGGGGCGGGTTGATGGTGAGCTCGAAGCCGTACTGGTCCTTGATGGCCCGCAGTCTGTAGCCGTGCCGGAACAGCTGGAAGGTCACGCCGTCGCCGAAGCGGATGTGGGGGCCGACCATCTTGAGCTGCGCCAACACACGGGGATCGTCCAAATACGCCTGCACACACAACACATCAACACACCACACACCGATTGAGAGCCATCCTTTCTCTCCCTCCCTCCCTCGGTTGGCTTACCGTCTTGTTTGGGTATTGGTGCAGGTCACCAGAATTGAGGGTCACAGGCAGCTGGCAGCAGCCGCACTGCCCCGCCAGCTCAATCACCTCGCTCATCTCACTCCAGCCGCCCGCCTCCGTCACACACAGCGCCGCCAGCAGGTCACGCTCGCCCATCTGCTGGTCGGCGAATGTCAGCAGCTGCACCACATTCTCATTCACCGTCCGTCGCAGCCCCGCCTGTGTGCTGAGGGAATGGCTGAGTCGCTGCCGCAGCTGAGGCGCTCCGAAGAGGCCTCTGGCCCATTTGCATGTGGCCCTCAGACGCAGGATGTCATTGAGGCTGAGAAGGAAGAATGTGCGGCGGCCGACGAAGATGTACTCGAGGGGGTGCTGCTTCTGCTGCTGCTGGTTGGGCTGCTGGTTGGGGGCCGTCAGAAGGCCTGCCGACAGTGAGCTGCTGCCCCCCTCATGCTGCTGCTGTGTCGCTGCCGCAGCACCACCCGCACCAATCGAGCCACCTGAAGGCACCACACAGCACAGGACGGTCATGACGATGCGCAGTCCACCAACAGCAGCTGATGCTTTGCGTACCTCCACTATGCCCTCCACCATCACCACCACCACCAGCAGCAGGATGGCTGATGTCTACGTGTCTACGCTTCTTGGCGCCGCCGTCATCATCAGGCACCTGAACAGAAATTGATCCACACACGAGTTCCTCTGCGTCGGTGTGTCTGTGTGTCTGTGTGTCGGTGGACTTGTGCGCACCGCGTTGCTATGCTGTTTGCTGTTGTCGGTCTCATTCGGTCCCACAGCACCGCCCGCCCCCCACTGAGCCGCTCCGCCGTCGACATTCATTCGCTGACATAAACACACACACACGGGGGAGTGACCGGCTTGTGTGTGCCATCCAGTGGTCAGTGGAGCCTTACGCGTCTGTTGTGGTCAGTGGGCGTCTGTGTCAGCTCATTGCTGAGGGCCGAGTGGGCGTCGGTGAGGTTCGTCAGAAGACCCAACAGTCGGCGGCCAGCCACTGACGCACAAACCTGTCAGCGGCAACGAACACGACAGAGAGAGAGAGAGAGAGATGCGGCACTCGTGCAGGCGGACCTGTGTGTTGTCGTGTTGGGTGCGTTGGATAGCTCCCTCGCCCGCCGAGCCGGCGCGGCCATCTCAGATGCGATCTGAAGGCACACAAACAGACAGATAGCACAGTGAATGAATGGTCGGTCTGGCGCCTCCCTCTCTCCCTCTCTCACGGATTGGATCTGATCTATGACATCTCGCAAGCTATCGTCCGACCAGCCCCGCCCACCTGCACCCCACACACCATCACCACACACACACATGGCAGCTGTGTGTTTGCATTGTGTGCGTCATCGCCCACCTCTCGAGGGAGCCGGGCGTCGTGGCTACTGTCCATCTGACGAGCACGGTCAACCACCTGCACCACGGAAGCAAAGCAGCCACACAGCGACATGGGATGCTCATCAGTGTGCCTGTGCTCTCAGTCTGCCGACTCACTGCTCTGTGTGTGAGTTTTGGCGTCAGCCTTCGAGCTGAAACTGACGCCAGCCATCAAGAAGCAGCCCGACTGATGCCGTCACTGCTGCCCGCCGCACAGGTACAGAACCTCTCAACTCAGACCGTCACCGTCCGATCTGACGGCACACACACCGCACAGCCACGCAGGGAAGGAATGTGTTGCCGGTCGTTTCTATCCGTCATGCATCATCTGCCAGTCTGCTTTGCCTCCCTCAGTTGGCCTCGCTGATGGGCAGGCTGAGCGCCTCGGCTCAGTGAGTGAATGGGTGGAGAGGCCTTTTGGTCTCACCGATGGTGACGAGAGGAAGTGTGGAGGCATCAACAAGCCTCTCATCAGACCAAAACTGTTCGCCAAACGAAGTGCGAGCTTCGGCGAGGATTCGCTGTCGGCCAGGAGCGCTTTCGAAGGGGTTGTTCCCCCCCTTTTAACAAATGCTGTGCGAGGTCGATCTGCGCAAAAGGATTTGCATCCCACACAGCCTCAAAACACGAGTCATACTGTGTCTCAGACCCCAAGCGCATCTGTCTTTCCATCACTTCGACGACAGCGGTGCCGCGAGAAATTTGTCACTTTCGCTCTCTTCTCTGGCTGTTTTCCCCTTCCCCTCCACAGCAATCGCCTGACCCTGCCTGTTGCCCGTAAGTACCATCGCCGTGGGCCTTCGCATCGTCTCGCTGCCCCCGCACACCGTGATGGGTACAAATAAATACACTTGCCGCGCAAAACACCCGCAGATCCATGGACCAAAAAGACGACACCTTCGTATGTAACCACATACATACCGCAACACACAAACATGAAGAGTGACGGCACACCCACACTGTCGCGGTCCACCCACTCACATCACAGCAGCCCCTTCTCTCTCTTGGTGCGCTTGCTGGCCAGCCGATCAGCCGTGGCGGCACCACTCTGCTCCGCCGCCCGCTTGCGGGGCATGCTGCGCGTCGTGACGCCCTCACACACCACGCCCACCGCCGCCACATCGCCACGCGTGCTGCTGTTGTTGTTGTCGACCGCCCCACGGCGTGTGCGCTTGGCCCGCTGCTTGGCCGGGGGCTGCTTGTTCTTCCTGCTGTGGTCGATGTGGGTGTCCTCTTGGTCGCTCATCTGCTGCTCGTTGTTGCCGTCCTCCTCTGCCGCATGGTCCTCACTGTCGGTGTGCTCGTCGCCCAGCTGCTGTCCGTCGATGCTGTCGGTGTTGGTGTCTTCGGTCTTGTCCTTGGCTGGTGTGTCGTCCTGCTCCTCGTCCGCACCACCTGAGATCGGCAACAAACCAACAGACGCATAGACACATCCAGCGTGCACGAATCCATCGGCTGACGTCTTTGCCGCCCCACCTACCCGCTCCCTCACGGCTCGCTGGTGGCTGTTGCTGCTGCTGCTGGTGCTGCTGGTGGTGGTCGTGGTGTCTGTCAGGTTCCCCACCACCATCACCACCACCACCACCCTGCAACAAACACATGGACCACCTAGATGAATGCTTTGCTAGTGTGTTGTGGGTGGCCTGCGTCACCTGTTCGTCTTGGTCCTTGTGGTCGTCCTTGTTGGTCTCCTCTTGATTGCCGTCCTGCTGCACACCAGCCGCATCGAAACCATCGCGGCCGCTGCGTCAAACAGACACACAGGAAGGGAGTGCAGGCGTGTATGTATGGCTGTGTTGGCCGTCGCTGTGTGTCGAGGTGTACCTCACTCACCTGGTCTCGTGGAACATGCCGCCCCTCAGTCTGAGCATCAGCTGCAGTGTGGCATGCTCGAGAATCATATAGTCCTTGACGGTGAGGCCGTCCTGGAGCTGCTTGCCGCCCCAGATGAGCCGCTGCTGGTCGGGTGGGATGCCCTCCTTGTCCTTGACCTTGGCCTTGATGTCCTCGACGGTGTCAGCCACCAAAACATCCAACGGGATGGTCTTCCCTGTGCGTATCCATGACACACAAGGCAAGAGCTGGTGCTGACTGAGGTGTGGTGTGTGCAGTGCACCGCAGTGCCCACCAGTGAGGTTTGTGAGAAATCACTGGTGGCCAGCAGTGCCAGGTACAGCGTGGCGTTGTCCTGAATGCCGTAGTCCGCGAGGCTCTGGTCGTCCTTCAGACACGAGTCTCGCACGTCACGGGCGGTCCCGAGCAGCTGCCTGCCGGGCCAAATGCCCTCTCTCTGCGATATCTTGGCCTTGACGTCCTTGATGGTGTCAGACGGCTGCACATCCAGCGTGATGTCTAAACGCACACGCATAAAACAGTCAGGGACGAACTGACGGGGGACGGTCTGCGCTGTCATCTACCTCGTCTGAGGTAGGTGAGATGGATATGGATCTGGAAGGTTGGTTTGGGCTGCCCCGGATGCTGCTGCTCGTCCACGAACATGATGATCTTGCCCTTGGCATCCACAGGCAGCGTGCGCAGGTCCCCATCGACCTTGACCTTGAAGCAACCACCGGCGGCCGGATAGACAGGGAGGCCGTCGAGCAGACCAACAGCCTTGCTGCTCATGGTGTGTGGAGTGTGGTGCAGGGAAAGGCGCTGTAGGACACACAGACAATAACACAACAGATGATGAGAATCAGAATGTGCATGCAAGCAGCTTTTTTGTAGATCTTACACGCTTGCGAGTAGCGTGACGATGCGGGAGAAGGGGTAGCCTCGAATCAGTGCCTCCGCCTGCGACGAAATCTAAGCTCGCAGTTCTCAAACCCTGTAACCCCAGTGCCCAACGGCGGCTGCAATTTCTGAGAGGCTCAGGGCGAGCGAGGGAGAGTTCTGCGAAGAACTCGAGGCGACAGAAACGCCTGTACGGAGTAGCTTTGCACTCTGTGTAGCCTTGCCCTATCCCTACGTGAGGCACAACAAGCTAGCCCCTTGAGCTTCGGCAGTACAAGAGCCGCCCCAGCCCCGCCCGCTGAGTGCGTGTTGGTCGTGCAGACACGCACCGCCACCCAATCGGCAGTCATGGGAGAGGCTCAGTCGATGATGCTGGCGAGTTGGGACACTGAGGAGCTTGTTTCCCACATCCTGTTCCTCCGGGAGACCAACCACGTGGAGGCAGAGCCGCGCATATGGCACGTCATCGAGAAGGGCTGGGTGGAGGTCGTTGACAGGCTGCTGCAGAAGGAGCCCACACTGCTCGGTCAGAACGGCAGCGGGAGTGGGGACAACTGCGGAGGCGTCTCGACTGACTACCTGGTCAGCTGCATAGCCCAGATGACGGCATACAGCATTGCAATGGTGGATGTCTCTTTGTGTGTGTGTGTGTGTGCAGATTCGCGCCACGCACAACCGTGGCGGCATCTTCAGCTACTTGGTAGAGCGTTGGTCGGTGAGTGAGCGCACGCCCGACAACTTGCAGAAGGTGTTGAAGCGAGCCATCGAGAACACGACCATCGACAGGATGCTCGAGGTGGTCCTCTACCGCAGCGGACCAATGAAACCGCACGAGATACAGGACTTCTGCAAGTCAGTCAGCCCAGCCAAGGAGCCTCCATCGAGCAGCAACTCGTGTGTTATGTGCTGTGTGGTGTGTGCCCCTCTCTCTCTCTCTCCGATTAATTAGGGCTGAGAGCATCGAGGGGGGTCACTGGCAGAGTGTGCAGACGCTGCTGTCGTCCCACCTGGCCGTGTTCACTGGCGACGACCTCGACCGCATCCTCGCACACCCACCACGCATCATCGACGACTACTGGCGAGTCGTCATTCGGGTGGGTGAGCATGGCGATGATTTGTGTGTCCCGGGGTGAGGACCGCGATGTCATGTGTCTGTTGCTGATTTGTATGCTGCCTGGCCTGACGCACCCACCACACAGATGATGACTGACGAGAGTTTGCCAGCTGGGAGGATTCACCCCGCCGTGTTCCGGCCGGGCGATGTGCTGGCGCTGGTGCCAGACAAGAAAAGATACATACAGTAAGTAAGGAGACAGACAGCCACATACCATGCCATCCGTGATGATCAGAAGGACCTCCCTCCAACGTGTGGTGCACGCGTGTAGGTTTTGTGAGCGTTTGGTAGAGGAGTTCGATGCCGTGCTGACGCCCCCCGTGGCCCAGCAGCTGCTCGAGGCTGCCGTGGAGGTCAAGAACCCAACACTCTCACACAAATGCATCGCAGCGGGTATGTTTGAAGGAGCGACGAATGGATGCAGTCAGTCATGGTTGCTGCCTGGCCGCCTGCAATGCAGGTGCGGTTGCGACGGCGGAGTTCATTGAGACAGCGGCGGGTCACTTCTTCCCCAACGAGGACTTCATCCGATTCCTGCTCGAGTCGAACGAAGCCATCGTGCCATCAGAAAAGGTCGGTGGGGCAGACCCGCCATGGCAAGAGAGAGAGAGGGGGGTGTCACGTCAGTCACTTTGTGTCTGTCTGTCCTTATCTGCCTAGGCGATGCTGAATGCGCTGAGAGCGTGGACACTCAACTGGAACCTGGTAGACACACACACACACACACACCGCACACCGAATGCTGACTCACGCGCCGTGTCTTTGGTCTTGGCCAGGTGCGTTTGCTGCTGGAGCGGGGCGGGCCCGTCACGAGTACTCAACATACACACACACACGGATTGACCTCATAGCATAGCTTGTCTTCATTCCTTGCCGGTGCGCCCTCCCTTTGCAGGTCGTGTGGTGGACCGTGTGTTGAACAGCACGACCGTGGACAAGCCCGTCTACCGCCACCTCATGCTGGCTTGCCCCGAAGACCTGGGATCCATCAGGGAGAAACTCGTCGGGTGCCTGCACTCATTCGAAGACCTCCAGTGGTCAGCCATCAGCACCACTGCACCGCCTTGCTCCCATACACACGTGTGGTGTGGTGCATGGTCTGACTGACTGACAGGATGGAGGAGTGTCTAGAGGAGGCGGCCCACCTGCACGCTGCACAGTGGCACGCAGGCGTCCGCCGGTCCCGCGACGACGACAGCACCTCACACGGCCACATGTCGCCGGACACAGACGCCTCATCGTCAACTATCCCGCGGCTGTCCACCTTCGAGGCACCGGTTGCATCTATGTCGCCCACCGACAGCCACAGCCCGCCCAGCGAGTCGGTCACCTCCGGGAGCAGCCCAACCGGGTCGCCGCCAAGTGAGGGTCGGCGGATTGGCGTGGCGCGGGGCTGGGAGGGGCTGGCAAGGGCGGGGTCGGGGGCTGACGATGAGGCGGGGGTGCGGCGTGGGGAGGCTGCATCGGAGATCAACACGAGGGAGAGGAACACCTGTGTGGTCTGTCTGGATGCGGCCGCCGCGGTCATCCTGGCGCCATGCGGGCACAGATGTACTTGCACCAAGTGAGAGAGAAAGCTCTGTGTGTGTATGGCGCGGCGCACGAGAGAGAAGACACGCATGCCTACTGGTGCGTGTCTTGTGTGTGTGTGTGTGTAGGTGTACGGCGTTGCTGATGCGTCGGCCGGACATCCCTCTCGAGAGCCCGTTCGGTGTGCGCCGGCCCGCTTTCCACTCACGCGCATGCCCCATTTGCAAAACATACATTCAGGTATTTAGACACACACACACACAGACACAATCGTTCCTTGCGCAGCACATGGGTCTGTCTGTCTGTGTGGCCTGACAGAGCACCGTGAGACGCGTGTACGACTGACCAAGTGCCTGTCTCGCTGGCTGGGCGGTGCAGTGCAGAGAGCGCAAAAAGAGAAAGAGGAGTGAGTGAGAGAGAGATTGTTTTATTCATTCGGTCGGTCGGTCGGTTGGGGGGATGCAGAAACTAGCGTCCGTCCGTCCACCCGATGCTATTCTTCTGTTTGGCCCCATGGCGCATCGGCCCGTGTGAGATATGCATACGTATGTGTACCTAATTGGCGGCCGATGCGCCATGGCGCGTGAATGAATGAATGCGATTAAGAATGGATTTCGATGGTAAAATGCTGGCTGGCTGGCTGGCTGGTGAGTAGTTGCACGCCCTGGCATTGATTGTACTGCATGAGTTGAGTGTATTGCATGTGTGTGTGGCACCGGAACAACGGTCGAGCGTTTTTATATTCGTGAGCGCGAGGAGACGAACGCGTTTGTGTTGTGTTACATAATTTATGCATGCATCGTGAAGACTCACTCCGGGCGGTCGAGCTGTTTTTGCGTGTGCGTGTGCAGTGAGCGAGCGAGGTTGGACACCGACATACATGTCGACAGACTGAATCAGTGCGTGTGTTTGCAATTGAATATCTGTTGCCGGTGGCCGGCGGTGGATGTGTCTGTCCATGTTGGACGAGCCGGGTGCAGAGGTGTGCAGTGAGTGCATCGATTCACTCAAGAGATATATATGGGTGTCACTCAGCAGTCCGTCCGTACGGTACCGAATCGTATGCACACGCACGCACACACGAGCACCATGCCATGCAAGTTATCGTTCGATCAATCCGTTGATCAATGAAGTGTGAGAGAGAGGAGAGCAGAGAGAGGAGAGGAGAGGGAGAGAGGGAGTGAGGATGCATGCCATGCAGTTGCCCTTTGTATGCACTTAACCATCCAATGGGTTCACTAACTGACCATCAGCACGGCACGGCATGGAGGCACGCAATCAGGCAGCTAGACAGACAGACAGGCAGGCAGCTAGGCAGACAGACAGGCACTAACACACCAACCAACCAAATGTCGTTTGTCGACAGTGCAGTGAGTGGATGCAGGCAGAAGGTGAGAGCATCCTACCCGGTCTCCAGTAGGCAGCTAACATCGCTGGGTGTGTATCCAAAATTTAGATAATGCCGCCCGGCCGTCACTCACTCTCTGCCTCTGTCTGTCTGTGTGTGGGTCGGTAGTTGTTTCCCGGTGTGACCGCAGGAGGCTATCTATGGGAACAGCCAGCCAGCCGGCCGGCCAGCCAGAGAGAGGGTGCGACACCGCCCGAGCGCATCAACGCAGCGTCCAGCGAGCAAGTCAATCCAGTCGAGAGCACGGACAAAGAGACACCACTGGCTTTGCAGGCAGGCAGGCAGACAGATAAACACAGCACAGCCCGGCACGGCACGGCACAGCTGCCACGGCAACCAGCTCCTCATTGCATTGCTCGTCAGTGTCACTCATTGTCGCTGAATGAACACACACATGACATGTTGCACACGGCGCCCGACCTTACAAAACGGTCTGAGCTGGCGCACACACACGCATGGCATGGTATCTATCGCATCGATCGTATGACGGACAACAACAATCATTGCATCAGAGGCGAACAAATCCTGAAGCAGCAGAGCACAGGACAGCAGCCAACGACCGAATGCCGGGATGCCGAGAGATGCCGAGCGCAACCAAAGTCAGAGCCGCGTTTGTAGCTTAGCTGTGCACGTGACGTACAAATATCAAGTCGTTCGTCAGCCAGCAATGTACACACGCACCGCACATCACATGGTCATACCGCACACACCAACACACAACCAACACACCAATACAGTCCCCCCTCTCCCCTCTCCCCCTCGCCCATCCCATGCGCACTCCACCATCCCATCCCATCCATCGCTGAGTGAGTGAGTGGCTCGGCTCGCAGGTGTGCGTATGTCTCGTACGCTGCGGCCGCCACAAAACGACAGACAGGCAGGCAGGCAGACAGACAGTCATGATGAGGGGACACACGGCCATTCACATGTATACACATGAACTCATCTGCACAATACAAGTACGGACGAAAATGTATCGAAAGGCAGGCAAACAGGCAGGTATGCAATCGCATCCAGTCCATGTACTGCGGCCAGCCAGCCAGCCAGCCAAGGCTAAATAGATTGATACACACACAACTGCACAACATTCCAGCCATCTCGTCCTCAAAATCACCGACCGGCGAGTAGGATGCATCCCTCTCTCCCCTCCCTCCCTCCCTCCCTCTCTCTGTCCCTGCCTGGTTGCGTGGAGGAACAGATGGCAGCCGGGAATCTGGCGAGCAAGTATGCACATGTGCATATCAGTATGTGTGTATTAGGGGCTGTGTTTGTATGCAAGCAATGACAACCCGTCAAATAGCACCCACGCACACACACGCAGAAAGAGACACACACATCAAGAAGCCAGCAAGCAATAGACAGCCATCCAGCAATCATCCAACCATCGACTACCCACCTCCCACCTCACCCCTTTACCCTCTCCCTCCACCAATGTATCATCTTTCTACGAGCGTATGCTATGAATGACGAAAAAGGACAGCCCAGAAAGAAAGCAAGAACGACACACAAGACACACACACACACACACTCAGTGAGGGAGGCACAACAAAGAGAGAATACGGCACTTAGGTGACACGCACAGCACGGCATTGAGTGAGTGAGCGAGGTCAGGTTCATCAGGTCTGTCTGTCCAGGGGGAAAAATTCGATTCTTCTGCATGCATAGACAGATAATAGGCACGGTCTTACTAACTACGACACTCACCTTTCATGAGAATCATCGGTCGTTTGTATGCAAGCATTGTGTAAGTATACACACGTATACACGCACACGCATACACAGAATGAATGGGTATACACGCAATTCGAGACATGTACACGTGGATGTTCATGCAATTGGACAGACACACTTATGAAGGCACCACGGCTGACTGACGGACGACACAAGAAATGAAAAAGGTCGCGCGTGTCTCCCCTTCTCACTCAGGTGTGTGTGCCCACTCACTGATGCCAGCTCCCGCCCACAAACCTGCCAAATGGGAGGCACACCCATACATACAAACATACACACGACAGGCGTCATTCCTCTTTCTCCTCCCAGGATACACTTGTAAAACGGCCCGATACACTGCAAACCAGCCAATCCCTCCTCGAAACACTAGATAAACATGCAGTGCAGGTCGACTCCCTCACTGTCTGCAGGTCCACAGGTCTCTCCCCCCCCCCCCTC